GAGCACAAATGCTTCTTTTACTATATTTTCCAAGTCTCTTACAAATACAACATACATGGCTTTATATAGCCTCAAAATGAAACTACTAGGCATTCCAAGAATTGTAACATTCATACTTAATGGTCATAATTAACCATTATGTAATTGTAACCTAAAGTAAATAAAAAGTCCTAAAAACTCTAAAAAGTCCTAAAAACTCTAAATTGTAACCCACCCAAGCTTTATAACAATCAAACTTCACTCTTCTTCAATGTGGCATGCATTGAAACATCTTTTGATAATTTTGACAATTTTTTCTTCACATCGTCATTGAAGTATATTGTATGATTGATGTTTTTTGGTTCATATCACGATGTGTAATCATCTCTACATGAACAATCGAATTCCATTGATATCAATTGCATCGGTTGAACTCAATAGACATATACACTAGAAAAATCACTTGAAGAGTTAATTAGAAAAGGGTAAAATGGATATTTACTTAAAATATAAGGATAAAATAGGAAATAAAAATTCTATTCCAAACCCTCATTATTTATAGTTATAGATTATAAAAACAATGAATATTTAGGTTTGGGCCGCCTAATTTGCAGATAGCCCAAGACAAAACCGTGGTGGGCTGCACAGTCTCACCTCACGGGGTTCGGTCCAAGCCTTAAAAGTTTGAATGGATCCACCGAATTGAGCCCAAAAGGCTTTTTGAATTGAAATTCGGCCCACTATGTTGGGCCGTCTAGTCCAAAAAAAACATTTTAAAATATCCAGTGTTTTATTGAAATTTAAAATGTGAAGATTCTCTTATGTTTTATTTACTCCATAAAATATTAAAATACATACATTATCCACTTGAAAAGAAGTACGGTTTTCCGACCAAGTTGATAAAGTCCTATTTCTATATAAATTTAAATATAGAAATAAATAAATAAATCAACCAGTCAAAAAAAAGAAAAACTCTTTTTCAAAATTTAAATATTTAAATTCACGGGTGGAAAAGTTAAAGCGTAAATGACGTGGAAATGTTGGAATTTGTCTCCAAATTACCCTAAAACCCGAGAAAAAAATATGATTAAAAATGGGAAACCGACAAAGACCTGTGAGTGCCTAATTAAGCACATGCTTCCTATAATTAATATATTTCTAATTCCAAGAATCACGTGTAATTAATCATCCAATTTAGAAATTAGAAGCACCTAAATTGATTTAATTCTGCGATAATGAGTGATTTTTTAAATAAATTATTTATTAAAATTAGATCCAAATCTAATTTAAAAATTCACCCACTTTACTAAATTAGGCGTAAATATTAAATTTTATTTGGAAGGCGTATTAATGAAGTGTCGGTTCCCGAGAATTGAAATTCCGGAATTACTAAAAATAATTAAACAGACAAAATAATTATGGCAAATATCGTAATAAAAATGATGGAGAAAAAATGTAGTGGAGAGAAATTGTGACGTGGCAATATATACAAATAGAAGTGGTGGGGACAGGGATGGACACGTCAGGCGTACCCAGAAACGTATGATTGCGTGTCACAGAAATGATTTTGCAGGTTTTTGGATGTCGTTTTGCGGTGCGCAAATGGATAATAATAATAATAATAATAAATTAAATTATACAAAAATATTATTAAACCTTTTTATTTTTTTCTTCTTGCAAAAACAGTTGCTTAATACTATAATTTAAAATAAAAAACTAGTGTTTATAAAAATAATTTATCTACCTTTTTATCCTTTCTTTTATGGGTTCCGATCGAGACATCTCGAACATCCATCCATTTGAATTTTTTTTCGATCATCGAGCATTTTAATGCCCATGCTAAACATTTATGACATGCGTTTCGAATAACAGATGCATAATCCAACCTCCGCACATGAACTAGGGTGCAAAAACTAGTGTAGTTCGGTACTATTCTTGTGCCACTTTATCTGGTAATGCTCGCTCACGTTGTGCCATAGAGTAGCTCGTTTAGGCCTAAACGTAGTGGAAAACGAACATTATGATTAAAATTTCGAACAAAAATTATATTTGAAAGATTGCGGTAATACATTAAAATAAAAATTGAAACTCATATTAATTTTGTCTAAAAATGGAAGATTATTTCAAAAGTATGCACGCTACCTACATTTTATTCTTAAAGGGTAAAGTCGTAAAGTTAATAAAATAAATAAATAAACAAATTTTATTGTCGTATTTGTTTAAAATTTTAATCACATTTTTTAATCTTAAACTTTTGATATTAGTGGTGGATTTTTTTCGAGAAAAAAAAAATCATAAAATTATATCTTAGAATTAAATTGATTCTAATAGCATTTTATAGTGGGGACCGTCACAGCCAGCTGGCTCTGCAGTCAGCAAAGTAAGACAAAAAAAACAAAGATGCAAAACTGTAAATAAAAAAATAATAATACAGCCCTGTGAAATTGGAAGGCTTGTGGACCACAGCGGGCGAGTGACTTCATTTATGTAGTCGCGGGATGGGCTTTAGTACGGTAATTTCTTGGGGAGGAATCAAGTGGCTTAGCGAAGAGAGCCAAAGCTTAACAGTTATCACTGCTATTGCCAGTGACAGCTGGATGGGTAAGGCAAACAGCTGTACTACGCCACGTAGCGAACAGCCATTGGCTATCACTGGACCCCTACATCTCAGAACTGGGGACAGCTAGTACCAAGCGCCACTATCACTCTGCAAAGCTTCTTCCAGCTGTTTGGGCTAATAGTAACGGCTACATTCTCCCTTTTTTCAAAATTCTCGCTCTCGGAAATTTAAATCCGACGTGGCGTATTCGAAATACGTGGAATATTCGATTTTTTAACAAAAATGGGGGTTGGGAGAATTTGGAGCTTGTGTAAGAAGCCAGAGGAAAATCGGCTATAAATAGACTGCTACGGATTACTGCACAGTAGAAGCTTCAGCTCAGCTTATAAGCTGTGTCCATATCTGCTCTGTCCATGGCTACTTCTGTGTCTTTTGCTTGTGTTCTTGGCTTCTTCCTGTGTTCTTTAATGGCGGATTCCATCGAATCCAGAAATTTTCATGACCTCTTCCAGCCAAGCTGGGCTTTTGATCATTTCATCTATGAAGGAGAACTTCTTAAGCTTAGACTCGACAACTCTTCCGGTACTTTAATTACTATATAAAATTCTACTCTGGTTTTCGTTTTCGAGTTGCTGATACCGAGAATTTCCAGGTGCTGGGTTTTCGTCGAAGAACAAGTACCTGTTTGGGAAGGTCACCATTCAAATTAAACTCATCGCGGGTGACTCTGCTGGAACTGTCACCGCATTTTATGTATGCTCTTAATCAAATGATTGAAATGGGTTTACGATTATCTTGAAATGTGATGTAATCATGTTTCCGTGATGATGCAGATGTCATCGGAGGGCTCGAATCACAACGAATTCGACTTTGAGTTTCTGGGGAATACGAGCGGCGAACCTTACTCTGTTCAAACCAATGTGTACGTTAATGGCGTGGGGAACAGGGAACAGAGGTTGAACCTCTGGTTTGACCCAACCAAGGACTTTCACTCCTATTCCATCTTCTGGAACCGTCGCCAAGTCATGTAAGCAATCTTCCTTGGCCCATGTTTTATGGTCTCTGCTCGACAATGTCGGGTTGGACCATTTTTGCTTTTGGATGTTTGTGTCGGGGATGGGGTCACTCGCTACAAAACAGAGCAAAACAGAACAAATTTCGGTTCCATGAAAAAAGGGGCATTGAATTTCGTGCATTTTTTTATGATTTTTTGTTTCTTTGTGAATTTTGGTCAGTTTCCTCGTGGATGAAACTCCAATCAGAGTTCATTCGAATTTGGAGCACAGAGGCATACCCTTTCCGAAGGATCAAGCCATGGGTGTATATAGTTCAATATGGAACGCCGATGATTGGGCAACGCAGGGTGGTCGGGTGAAGACAAATTGGGCCCATGCGCCGTTCATAGCATCGTACAAAGGCTTTGAGATCGACGGATGCGAGTGTCCGACGACGGTTGCGACGGCGGATGTTGCTCGGAAGTGTAGCAGCGATGGGGAGAAGAAGTATTGGTGGGACGAGCCGACAATGTCTGAGCTGAATTTGCACCAAAGCCATCAGCTGGTTTGGGTTCGGGCTAGGCATATGGTGTATGACTATTGTACGGACAGTGCGCGGTTTCCTGTTACTCCAGCTGAGTGCGTTCATCACTCCCACCGCCATTGGTGATGGAAGAAATGGGACAGTGTTTACGAAGAAGAAGAAGAAGAAGAAGAAGAAGAAGAAACATGTGCTCCATGTTTTGCTTTTGAATTTTATGATGATGGCCATAATTTAATATGAAGCAATGATGGTTTAAAGTATGAAATGATTAGCATTTTTTATCCTTGTGTGGTCCCGATGATCACGAGACGGTTGAATTTTTTAGTTTGGGCAAGGTGTTGGGTGATATGATTTAAACTTTCGGACACAAAATCAAAAAACAAACAAACAAGTGAAACATCACCATCTCAAAATAATTACGGATATAAAATCAATCATTTTGATATATTATTATTATGAGCATAGATTTGAAATCAAAATCAATTAATTACCGTCGGTATAAATTTCAATTGATTTGTACAATCTTTGAATATGTTAATTTAGAAATAAGGTATTTCCAAAGGAAGATATAGAAGATTAGACCACGAGCATTCTGTTGAGAATTAATGAGAGGCTATTCGAGATCTCTATTATTTAGAGTGAATCCCACATTGGTTAATTTAGTGAAAAATAATGGGTTTATAAGTGAAAATACTATTTTCATTGGTGTGATGTTTTTTGGGAAGTCTAAAGACCGGATGAATTGAGGATTGTTGGAACTGAATTCAAGCCTTCTTTATAAATTTTTTAAATAATATAATTTTTCACTTAAAAATTTATTTATGGAAAATTAGTCATTTATCCGCTTGCCTTATTTTGAAAAATTAATTGGGCCTGATCATTCGGCCCATACAATAAATAACAAAATTCACAATTCACAAGTAGATCTGTTAATTTAATTCGAAGTGGTACTTTTGGGGCCTAGGGTTCCCCGTTCGTCCGCTCTGTAGTCGTCAACGCGACCGTCTTTTGTCTCTGGCTGGCACTTTAGAATCGGAATGTCTTTCCTTTGTTCGACGTCGCAAATTTAGGAACTTCTTCTCACCGCAGAAAAGGAGGTAATTTTCTAGCTTTTTTTTACAAAAATTCTGATTCTTTTTAGCTTCAAAATAGTGGCTGCTTTGTTCATCACTGTGAAATGAAAAGTGGGCCTTTCTGTTGACTTCTGTTGTGCAAAGTTGAAGAGATCAGCAGAATGTGGAATTTATGGATTTTGTGTTGTTTTCCCCCTTTTTTTCTCCTGAAGCTTGTGGTTGAGCTAAAGGGTTTGTGAAATGCGATCCTGGGTTGAACAGAGGTCGTAAAAATCAAATGGTGTTTTGACTTTGCAGGCGTGGGTTAACTAATGCGGTCCTGGAATATATGCAAGGGGGATTGTCCTTCCTCTTTAATTATAGATGCCATCGTTTTCATTTCCGTTTGCATTTTTTAAAGGTGTTTTTAGAATCTACGCTTACCGGCAGTTTCCCGCTAGTTTCATTTTTTTTAGAAGTTAATCGTACGGATTCACCATTACATCTTTTAATGAAAGAAAACGCTACTTGGTGGTGTTTCCTTTACAATTTTGAGGATTAAGTGACTTGATAAATGTGTCCTGTTGCCGGGGTGTCGATGTCAACTTCCACTTGGTCGTTAGTTCTTGACATAGTGAAATTATAGCTGGGACTGGGATCAGCTTGTTTACTGCAATATACACGAAGCACCAGTTCAGTTTGGTGGGGAACATGAATCTTGTGCACAATTTAACTTCGTTTTATTTTGTTCTGTTCCTTTTTTGAAGCGCTGTAGTTGCAGTCAACATAATTTAATTTAGGAATCAGTTAGTATGGAGTACACTGATGAGTGAAAAGTTAAATTGTGTTCATGGTATTTTACCACATTAGGGTCGGTTACCACTTGATGATGTACGACTGTTGTTTTTTCAATGGGCATTGGGTGGCAGCAATCCCCTGATAGGAATACAATTTTGGTACTTTTAGGATATCACTAGATAGGGGCGTTGTTATGGGGTCTTCATAAATAGAGGAAGTGGGCTAGGTGGATGGTAGGCATTTATTTTTGTGAGTGAATTAGGACTTGAGAGATATATCGAAAGGGGAGGTTCCTAGTACCTCAAATACTTTGTGAGTGAATTATCTTTCATTTTCCAATACATTTGTGTTCTATCATGCCCATTTTTCAGTTTGGATTCGACTGAAATTTGTTGGGTACACATCCATAGCACGAGGAATTAGAATGGGACAATTGAATGATTTGGAACTTAGTTATTTTAAGGAATAACAAAACATACATATTGGGATCGTAATGTTACCTTTTTAAATTCAAAAGTTTCTCTATTGCTAAAGAATGAGCATGTCCTTGGGTCATCATAGAAATACAGATAGGGTTGATGATGGAACAAACGAAGAAACTTCATGGGAGTTTTTTTTTTTGTTCCCGTTCATTTGCATCACATACACGTGCTCTGTAGTCATGATGCACATATGGCCTGGAAAATTATTTGTCTACTGATTTTGCTTTATTTGTGCATTTGATTGATTGCTTATAGTATGAAAATTGAAATCATCTTAAAATGGTGACAGGTTCTTTGTGGTCTTTCTTATTTGTTCGGTCCAATCTATTTAATTCTTGGATGCCTAAATTAGAAAAATTACAAACTAGACGGCCTGGATCTTTATCCGTGGCGGAGACTCTTGCAAAATGGAAAGATTACAACGATCACCTTGACTCATGTAATGATGAGGCAAAACTCACTCGTAGAGTTCCAGCCAAGGGATCGAAGAAAGGTTGCATGAAAGGTAAGGGAGGGCCAGAGAATATGCGATGTAATTACAGAGGAGTTAGGCAAAGGACATGGGGGAAGTGGGTTGCAGAAATTCGGGCACCGAAAAGAGGAAGTCGGCTGTGGTTAGGTACATTTCCAACTGCCATTGATGCGGCACTTGCTTATGATGAAGCTGCAAGGGCCATGTATGGGACTTCAGCTCGCCTGAATTTTCCCAATATCTCAATTCCAACCTTGCTAAAAGAAAAAGAATCACCACCAACAAAGGAATCTCCTTCTCCTGAAATCAAGAGGTCTTCAGTCTCTTCTTTAGGGTCAACTTCACTTAGTCTAAGTTACGAGTCCACAATAACATCAGATCACTCTGAGGAAGGTGCAGCCGAAGATGTGTAGCCAGCTATAGCCTTTGACCATTGTAAAGTTTATGAATCGGAGAATTGAGGCCAGGGATCGATTTTTTTGGACAATTGATGTAATTTCCCTTCTGTGTACAAGTATATGTAGGAGGTAGAGCTGATTGTAATTTTTTTTCCGTTGTCCGTCATAAGTACATGTAGGGTTCTAGGAAAGATGAAGTGGGGGTGAAATGTTAAAACCACTAGAACTTTTCTAATTGAACCATTCCTTCCTAGTGAGAAGGTAGGGTTGTATTGGAGGGTAGATTGAACTCTGATATGTGTGCTTGTTACTTGTGTAATGATCCATGTAGATGCTTTATGTTTAATCTGTTTTAGTGGTTCATATTTTTGTGCTCTAATCAGATACATTGAAGCTAAGGATAAGCATATGGTGTGACGTAACAGTCACGAGATCCCTGAACCGGGTTCAAACTTCTTAGATCCCTATGACAAGCCCTTGGAAACTTATTAGAAGATTGTCTTTCCCTTTGAAACAGGGATGTGATTCTCTTTGATTCTTCTATCTTTAAAAAGTCTCGTTCTTATCCCATCCACATGTGTAGACTATTATCTTCTTATCTTTTAACTTTATATGGGATTTAGATTGTCAAAAGCACGTGGAAGTGTCATCGCATGCCATGGAATGAAATTGACCATTCAAAAAAAACAAAACCCAATTGTTGTTTCAAGAACAAAGCAAACCAGATGGAAAACTTATGACAATCTCTCCCATAAAAATCAAACTCAAACTTGAAAATACATGAAGAACAAGCTGAATTAATTTACGTGCACCAAGAACTGCTAGGAAAGAAGACGGTGCAAAGCGTTGGTACCCACTTTTGGGCATTCTTTACTGAAGTATTTGGTAACAACGTTCGAGTCCAAAAGCTCAATGATTTACACATCGAGGCGTCTTGTATTGGCTCATTGAAGCTCCTCGATTCAGTGCCTGCGCCATGAGTTTCTCAAAGGTTCCAACCTTTACAATCTTTATCTCCAATGGATTGATACACTTCTCATGAGATCGTAGATAGCGGTACGGTCCATTAAGAGACTCTTCAATGGCAAAGCAGCAATCCTCATAGATTGAGGATGGAATAGAAATTCCCCCCTTAACGTGAATTTCCCAGTACAACACAGTGTGTCCAGGAATCTTGGAGCTATCCGCATGGCTAGTGTAGTCGGCAATGGCCGCCCCAAATGGGCTCAAAAGACGAGCTGCTTCTTGTACAACATCATGAAGCTCTGCTTCATCTGTTTTCTCAATATCAAGGCTCAAAACCACGTCTTTCCTGCATACAAAACTAAAATTTGGAGCTTTGTTCTTAAATCCTGTCACACGAAGAATGTCCACCATGCAATAACGGTAGAGCCCTGCAACAGTAAATTTATTCATGAACTAAATCAGAACTCCCAAGTACAATATTGAAAAGAAGAAGACAGACTTGCCAGCATAAGTAGTAATGACGAGCTCATATTCATGTCCTAACTTGACATCAACAAGATCAACTAATTCTCGGCTTACTTCTCTACTGGATTTCGTCCTGTCGATCGGCAGGAACTCGAAATATGCCATGGTGGGAATTAAAGTGTAGGAGGTTCGATCAGGGCTACACAATGGATCTAAGTTTAAGCCAAGGAAGCATTCTGAAGCACCATAATGGTCAGAAACAATAGGAAGGTGATTACTGTAGTAATTTAGCCTGGGAAGGTACTGTGCCATGCTTCCTGTCACAATAGCATTAATGTATTTGGCGTTCGGCCATAGCCTTGTAATGATGTCTGTGCAGAGAATGATGTCTTTAGGACTTGTATTATTGAGGTTTGCTCTCTTGCACAAACTAGTAATTGCAGTGTGAGCAACAATTCCAGATCTTGTCTTTAACTCAACCTTTGCAAACTGAAAGTGCATTCCTTTGCCTTTGCCCACCAAACTATTTGGAAACAGCTGCTTCATTCTTGGCATCACATAGTCAAAAAATGATAGCCTTCTCATAAACTCTTCTTCATACATTGGAATCAACTTGAGCTCTCCACCAGATGTCCCAGAGCTACAAGAAACCATTGATTTTAGGCATGGAATTGAAACGCATCAAGAGAATAAGAAGTGTACCTTATAAAGAACTCTGTGATGGGGTTTGCACATAGGATTGGGGAATCATCGCCGTTGGCTATACGATCTATATAAGGTCTTAATTGTTCGTAAGAGATGAGAGGTATAAGGTTCTTGAAGGTTGAAAGCTTGGTAGAGCCATGAAGGCCATCTTGTTGCAAGTATTCGACATCAGCATTTGTTGACAGAATTTGAGTTAGGATTTGTCGTTGGATTTGGCTGGCAAGTGTCGTGACATCTTCAATATGCTGTAATGCTTGCTTATCTCTCTCATCCGATGAGATTTCATCAACGTGTGCCATTTTTGTAGGTTTTGGAGAAGTATTGATAATGGAAGTCTTTGGAGCACTAATAATCTGTTCCTCTTTCCCTATTTATTTTATTTCTATGCACGGAGGACGTGATAGAACATCTGTGAAACAGTTCATATCATTGCTAGTAGATATTATCTTTTGTGAGATTTCACATCAGTTGGAGAGAGGAACGAGTGCTAGTGAGGACGCTAGACCCTGAAGATAGTGAATTGTGAGATCCCATGTCGGTGAGGAAAACAAAATATTTGCAGTATGAAAATTTCTCCTTAGCATACACAGTTTTAATTTTTTTTAAAGAGAACCTTGAAAAAAAATGAGGACAATCTAATAGTGGTGAGGTTAGATTTGGACTATTACACACCGAAACTAGATAGTGGAAAATGATATATGATATTATCTAAAGTTAAATATAAAAAGTTGTTAAAAAAATTCATTACAATATATTTCATTTTATTTTTGGAGTTATATAAAATTATTAAATGCTCGACAATGAATGAATTGGAAGTGTTATTAGCCAACATTAAATGCATGGTGTCAAACAGACTCTAACATTGGTGCAAATAATATATGTATCCTAACTAGAAAATTGTGTAAAATTTAGTCTGAAATAAAATGAATTAACATCAAAATTAAATCTAAAATAAAAATTATAATAAGACTGTCATTTGAGGTGTTCTATTCTTAGACCTTTAATCAGACCATAGACCTTTAAATCCACAAGTATCAGTGGTTCCTCTTTTTAGACCCTTAAATCCACAAGTATCAGTGGAGGACCATGAAATTACTCGACCCCGTACATTTGTAACAGTCACAATTGTATTGTTGAAACTTGCTTGAACATCAATAATACCTTTTGGTATTTTACACATATTTTTATGGGATATAATTGTCACTTGCACATGTAGTCTCTCGTCCACTATCAAGGCACGTTTACACATCCTATTTCTACACACAATAATGAACCGATAATGAACCTATCTACTTATGTAGTCCCTTGTCCCCTCTCAAGGCTGGTTTACTTTACACATAGTAGTGGTTTATCATGTTACCTACTCATGTAGTCCCTCATCCTCGCTCGAGACTGGTTTTGAGCCTCAACCCATTTGTACACACAATAGGAGTCCTTAGCTTGAGCTAACTACCCATATAGTCCTTAGTCTCTTTTTTAGTCTCTTTTTTAGAGTGGTTTAATGGGATCACATCGTTAGCCTTGTCTCGATCCTGCACTCAACAGTAACTCAAGTGGCTTTGAAGTTTTGTTAGCCTTCCTTAATCATATTTAGATATTATGGTAGTTTACTATGTTTTTAGGGGTGTTTAGGCAGTTTAAATCTCATCCCTTGTTCTCCCCCGATAACCTATAATCCTGCTCCGAAAAGGGAAAAAAGAAAAAAAAGTTCAAATCTTAGTAATGTAAGGTTCAACCCTTTATTTCAATTTATAACAAGCTCAAGATCATTATAGCAACAGGACCAACCCAATGCCCAAATAGAAACACTAATTTTTAAAGCCATTTCCAGTTCCAGGAAACGCAAACAAGGCACAAAAATCAGCAAACAAAGGGAGCATTGACGTGACAATCACTGCAGTAGAGGCCAGGTCTCTGAGTGAAACCTTGGCGTTTCAGCATTTTCCGAGCCGTCAAAACAAGCTCCTGGTTGGTAATTGGCCCATCAGATTCCTTAAGTATGGTCTGAATGGCATTGCTAAGAGCTCCATAAGCGGCAGCAGCATTTCCAGAAGGCGTGGCATCAGCGGAAGTTTGGTCAGTCTGGCAGCCACTGATGAGGATCCCACCATCTGGAAGTGTCCGCTTGGATGATCCAGCATACGCCTCTGTTTTACAGCCCACTTCAGTTTTCAACGCAGGTTTCACATACTCTTCATCCTTCTCATCCAATTTTTGTTTCAGAAATTCTTGAGCCAAATTGCCAACCATTCCAAACAACCCTTCTCCTCCAGAGTGTCCCTTGTCACCACCACCACCACCACCCCGGAGTTTGTCCATGATCACCTTCATAAACTTCTTCACCTTGGGGCTTGAATCTTCCCCAAATAAATCGAAAAGGGTCGGCCTCAATTTCCCCACATCAATGTCATCCTTCCCAGTTTTTTGCTTCAGAATGTCTATAAGAGTGGGGAGCGGTAACGATCTACTCTTCACATTGACTCGCTCCCCATGTGAAAGCTCCACCTCTCTGTCTTGCCATTCGTCCTCGTTCGTCGGACGATCATCGCGATGGTGATGGAATGCCGAGGGAACATGAATCCCTCGTGATTCCAAAGCACCTTCAACGCTTTGATGCATAAAGTTCCTGAAACCAAAGTGGGAGCTATTTCCTTGTCCTTGTTCATGGCATTTGGTGTTGGTGCTCTCTCCTATTTGCTCCTCCGCAGCGTCAATAAGACCACCACTGTGGCAAGAATCCGATACGATTGTTAATCGGCATCCCTGCGGAACCTGATCTACCAACTCCCTGAAATCGTCATCTGTTCGCACAAGAAAATGGAAGGAAATTGAAGCATTACCCTAATCAGATTCCAAAAATCGGGAAAATTAGGGCAAAACGTATAGATAGAACAGAGAGGAGAAATGGCGGACCAGTGATGAGGTTCATATCGCAGGGAGCAATGCACTCGTCGTAGCCGGTGTCGTCATCCTCGCCGGTCTCGGCAGGGAGACGAGTGCCGTGGCCGCTGTAGTGGACGAAGAGAAAGTCGCCTGGATCGGCGGATCTGACGAGACGGGAAAGGGCAGAGCGGATATTCTTGCCGGTGGGTTGGGTGTATGAGTCGTCGGTATCAATGAGGATGTTGATGTCGTCGTCGGAGAAGCCGTAACGGTTGATCAGACACTGATGCATCCGGTTGACGTCGTTGATGCATCCTTTGAGCTCTGCCTTAGTTCCTGGGTAATTGCATCCGATCAACACCGCCATTTTTCCCATTCTTACAATTCTATTACAAAACTTTTCTTTCACGATTAGATTATTATTTTTTTTTTTTTATTGAATTAGTTCATTTATTTATATTTTTGTTTTTAATAAAAATAGAATGCTAGTACTTAAAAATCAATAAAAATTGTTAGAGAATAAATAATAATAATTGTAAAATTAAATAAAAATAAAATATTTGCTTTAAATTAACACAAAAACCCAACTCAAATAAATTCTAAAAGTAAAGAGATATATTCCTTGATAAGAAAAATAAAAAATGGAAACAGTGATTGGATTGATGATGAAATAGAATCTGGGTCTCGAAGTTTAGTTCTCCACCTTAAAATTATATTGAATCTGACGACTCTACTTATATCTTTCGATCATCGAAATTCATAATCCAACTAAATTGTAGGATGGGACCATCAAGTTTGTGACTTTGGAAGTTTTGGACTTATGGGTGCATTTAACCAACATGGAAATGCGGCCACTTGACGCTACTTCCTCTTAATTGGTATTAAAATTATGCGACGAACAAGGCCACATTCCACCTTCTTATGCAACTATTTAATTAATTCAACCTTTAAGCTTTTTTAATTTTGGTCATTTATAATTTACAAACTAAACTTCTTGACTAAGAAAACAAAAATAAAAGTAAAACTATTGAAGAACACATAAAACAAACGCTTTGCCATGTCTTTATTCATTTCTATTTTGGAGTAATCGACATAGAATGCACCACACCGACCGACACTTGAAATGAAAATGGGAAACCCAGAAGCTTCCTGTTCCTCACCAGACATGGCGGCCGCCCGCCGTCGTGTGGCTTGTTCTTGTTCTGGTTATTGTTCTTGTACGAACAAGAAATCAAGATGCTTTAAACTCCTTTTCCAAAGCGTCATCAAGCCAATACAGAGACTCTTCCATCAATTCAGGGCTTAATCTGAACATCAAAACGCAAAACTCCATTTGATTCAAAGCGCCATCGCCATCCAAGTCCCCTTCCCTCATCATGCTCACAAGCTCCTCCTCTCCCATATCCCACAAACCCAAAAGGGAAGAGTTTCTCCTAAGGCTCTCTAAAGTGATCACGCCCTTCTCTTTGTCCATCAGCATCTGAAACCCATTACAGAGCTCGTTTATCAGCCCTTCTCCTCCCAATTTCTCCGCCATTACCGGCAGCAGATCGTGGAAACCACCACCACCTCCACCTCCACCACCACCCTTTCTCGCCATTTAAACTCAATTAAACAGAGCAGAGAGGTTTGAATTGTGAAATTGGGTGCAGAGGAAATGCCATTTATAAGATGAAAAGAAGAAAATACGGAGAAATTGGGATATGGGATTTAGAGAGATGCGATCGGTTCAGCATATGACAGCGCAGCGACAGAAAAGACTCTCTCTCTCTCTCTCTCTCTCTCTCTGGTTGCCCAACCGGACTGCCATTGGCAATTGCACCTCGCCTTCGTAGAACCTTTGACAAGGCTATTCTTGTCATTTTCATTCCATGCATGGATGGGCCTGTTGGTCAACCCCATCCATTTTCAATAAGGGAACGTCACCCCGGTTAAGAATGGTTGGGAGGGGGTCCCACGTTGATACTTTTTGGAGAAATCCAAAGCAAAACTACTAAGAGTTTTGCTCAAAGTGGACGATATTATATTATTGTAGAGATCTATGATTCCTAACCTCACATAAATTTCATAAGTTCACGACCTTTACAACAACTAACCATGGTTGAGTATAATCAAAGGAGAGAGAGAGGGTTTGGATTAAGATTAACATTTTGGAAGTTGCTAAGAGCGTTCCTTGAGGATTCAAGGAATGAAATCATGGATTTATTAAGTAAGAGAGAAGGAATGAATGAAGGGATGAGAAGACAAAGAAATTGAATAATAAATTTGGAGATGTTCAGATGTGTGGGAACACGTCTTATTTGAATGGATTATTGAGAAGAATGGTGTTGCCATATTGCCCGACTTTGTGTACTTCACATGCTGGAGGCTCCGCTTTTGGTGCTGTCTGTAGGCTGACACGTCTGTGTTCATTTTGGATAGGGAAAGTGCAGGTACAACAACAGGATCTGTGCAGTTCACATGTTTTCACAAGGAAAAATAAAAAAAAAGAGGTCCAAAGATGAGGAATTCAACTCGGTGGAAGCTGTTTATACATCAAAGATGTGTTTTTTTTTACTGTTGCTTTCATTCTAAGAAACCCAAAGATAATTTCTCATGTATCTGCATAGTATCTTCTTAAATTCGGGTCTAAGAAGCTGGAATAGTCTAAGCCTACCGTTAACAAATATGATTTTTTTTTTTTAGATTTTTCCTTTCAGACTCTCTCTCAAGTTTTTAAAACGTGTTTGCTTAGATATTGTCTTCTTTGACTTTTTTCTTATGGTTTTGTTTTAGAACGCGTCTATTTGGGAGAAGTTTCTACACCCTTGTAAAAAATGATATCAAAGTCAGACACGGGCAATGTTCCAGCTCACTGGGTCTCAAAGAGGGTGGATTGTGAAATCCCACAAAGAGAGAAGTGAGTGTCAGCGAGAACGCTAGGCCCCGAAAAAGGTGAATTGTGAGATCCCATATTCGTTGGAGAGGAGAACAAAACATTGTTTATAAGGGTGTGTCTTCCTAACTGACCATTTTAAATACCTTGAGTGAAAGTTCAAAAGAAAAAACTTAAAGAGAGCAATATCGATTCTCAAACTATCTTTTTCTATTCATAAGGGTCCGAAGAGAGCGATGTTTATTAAAAAAAAACATCCTCAACAAACCCAAGACTGAGTCAAGAGGGGGCAAAACTAGAGAAAGTGTTATTGTGGGCCTGAAGAATCATTTATTGGTGTTTATGGAAACATTGATTGATATTGATTTTTGAAGACGGCAGTGCCAAAGACTTGTTCTCACCGTGTTTAAGGTGCCTGCATTTTCTTCTCCTAACAGTCTCTATTACTTGCCGCTCTCACTTTTCTGCTGCTATAAATGAAATCAAGTAAGGCAACTAATTTAGTCTTCATATTTTTACATCTTCTCTGTCTAAACTAACATAATTTGGTAAGAACATAACTCTCTAAGGTTGTTCATGGAGACAGGTAAAGTGTTCAAGGAACTTCCCTTGATCTCAGAATAAAACAATACTCTCTAAAGACATGCTTAGCGAGGCTCAAGTAAGCTATAATCATTACTTACAATTTCTTGCTTAAACTCGGAAGAAGAGGTTGCAATAGAAGTAGAAGGAGTGGACCTCTTATCAAGGAAAGCCGGCTGCTTAGGATTGGGAAGAGAAGCAGGATCACTGCCAGAGCTCAGCATAAACACTGCATTTGACATGGTGGGGCGGTCCTTGGGGTCTTCTTGCACACACAGCAACCCCACAGCCACACATTTAACAGCTTCACTTGGACTGCACCTTTCACGCACCGTCGCCTCGACTATCTCCATTGCTCTGTGTTCTCTCCACAACTTCCATACCTGCGTACACCCAGTTCAAACTAAAGTAAAAGGAGTTTTGGTAAGAACCAACTTTGTTGAAGAAGAATTGTTCTCACATATCCAAGAAGGTTCAGTGCTTCGTTGGACTGGTAGAACCCTGTGTTCTTTCTCCCACTGACAATCTCCAACACAACTATACCAAAACTGAACACGTCTGATTTCACTGAGAATGATCCATCCAATGCATATTCTGGTGGCATGTACCCGCTGCAATATCCAACAAGAACAATTCACAACTTGAATAGAGATTTGAATATGAGTACAAGGATAGAGATTTACATACAAGGTTCCAACAACTCTGTTGGTGATTCCCTCTATTTGATTGCCATCAAAGATTCTTGCTAAACCAAAGTCTGAGATTTTAGGATTCATTTCTGCATCCAACAGAATATTGCTTGTTTTCATATCTCTGTGGATAATCCTCAACCTTGAATCTTCATGCAAATAAACTAGTCCTCGAGCAATGCCCATGATGATATTAAAACGCATCTTCCAGTTCATCAATAAACATTGCGTTCGATCTACCAATAGAGAAGAAAATGTCAAGATCAGAACTTTTACTTTAATTATCAAGGTAAGGTAAAGGTGAGAAACTTGCCAAATATAAAGAAGTCTAAGCTTTTGTTGGGCATATATTCATAGATCAATAGTTTTTCTACTCCTGCAACACAATAGCCTAAAAGTCGGACGAGGTTTCGATGCTGAAGTTTTGCGATGAGAATCGCCTCATTCTTGAACTCATCCATGCCTTGAGCGGAACCCTGCGACAGTCTCTTTATTGCAACTTCCAGTCCTCCTGGGAAAAGTCCCTGATATACATGAACTGTTAGTTGTGTATAAACCAAGTTAACTGTTGAGAGCTTTTATGCAAACCTTGTAAACTGTCCCAAATCCTCCTCGTCCAATTTTGTTTGCTTCAGAGAAGTTGTCTGTAGCATTGAGTATGGTTTCCAAACCCAAAATGGGTACTTCTATGGCTTTTCTATCATCTTCTCCAAACATCCCGGAACCCGTGAAGTCTCTGATACGCTTCTCACTTTCGTACAGGTGAGAAGCTTCCTGATTTCTCCAAAAGCTTCCTATTTTCTCTGTGTATAAAAGAAAAAACCGTCCATCTTAGGCGGTGTTACCGCCTGAGTAACAGCTCATGCCCACCATTAGTAGATATTGTACTCTTTGTCTTTTGGATTTTCCCTCAAAGTTTTAAAATGCGTTGTTTACTAGGGAGAGGTTTCCACATCCTTATAACCAATGCTTTGTTCCCCTCTCCAATCGATGTGGGATCTCACAAGCCACTCTCTTGGGTGCCTAACATCCTCGCTGGCACACTGCCTGGTGTTTGGCTCTGATACCATTTGTAACAATCCAAGTCCACCCTTCTGGCCTGTCCCTTAAGATTTTAAAACACGTTTGCTAGGGAGAGACTTTCACACCCTTATAAGCAATGCTTCATTCTCCTTTCCAATCGATGTGGGATCTCACAATCCACTCCCTTGGGAGCCCAGTGTCCTCACTAGCACACCGCCCAATGTCTGGCTCGATACCATTTGTAACAGTCCAAGTCCACCGCTAGCATATATTGTCCTCTTTGGACTTTCATTTTTAGCTTTCCCCTCAAGGTTTCAAAACGCGTCGGCTAGGAAGAAGTTTTCACACCCTTATAAAGAATGTTTCGTTTCCCTCTCCAACTAGCGTGGGATCTCATAATCCACACCCTTGGAAACTCAGCGTCCAAATCCACCGCTAGCATATTTGTCCTTTTTGGGCTTCTCCTCAATGTTTTAAAACGCGTCTGCTATAGACAAGTTTCTACACTTTTATAAATAATGCTTTATTTCCCTCTTCAACTGATGTGAAATCTCACAACATCACTTCCCATCAAACTTTCTAAAAAAACAAGGTTCAAATTTGTTACCTTTTTTATCTTGTACCTTCCTTCTTTTGTAGTAAATATACAGAACCAAGCAGGAAAGAACAATCAACCCAGCAATAGTCACTGGGACAATGATGCCAACTCTGATGTTTCTCTGCTTTCCACGTGGCTGATCCAAACCATTCTCTACAGGAACATTAACTGCAATATTCAGGGACAATTCCTCTCAGTTTAATAAGAAGCTTTGTTTTGAAACCGAAAGCTTGAACTCAGAGTATAATCTATTTAGTTATGTCAATACTTCAACGACTACCAATGTAGCCTCAATCACATACTAATAACAACCTGATGGCACTCCTATCTGCAGTTGACTTGAATTTATGCATTGAATTACCTGTTGATTCAAGGCATCCCATGCCAGTCCACTCTAAAGGAGAATTGCACAAGCATCTATTTGTATTTGTTCCATCTGTTGTTGATTTGCATGTTGAATTCAGCCATTTGGTGCAATCTCTTGACGAATTGCAGATTGGTTCATGTGGTTTCTCCCATTGAATATCAATTTCATTGAATTCAGAGTAACAGCCTCTGCTTACATCGAATGTTGACGAGCGATCCAGTTTCAGAAGCTTTTGAATTGCATCTATATCATTTCCTCTGCAGATAGACCCGTTTAATGCAATGGTAAAAGTTCTTAGTTGTGGGTTCATGTGGGTGACGTTGTAGTCATCTTGTGCCGTGTGAAAGAGGAGCTGACCAACGGAAGTGTTGCAGCTAAAGTTACGATATAAAGGATCACCGCAGTTCAATTCTGGTCTCAGACTCAAAGGATAAGGCACGATGTTGCTGCCACATGGTTCACAATCGAGCTCTGTCAATTCTAAAGGAAACATAGAAACAGAGCAAAGTAGATTAGAAAGATTCTTGTCGTTCATAGTTGGATAAGACTAAACATAGATGAATTGGGAGTGAAAATACCAATGTCCGAACGTTTGATACTAATGTGAACGTCGTCACCACCATCTGCATATTCCCAAATGTTTTCGAGGTCATCCTCCCAAATGATGCACACAATTTTGGCTCTGCTGTCTTCTATTTCAGCATACGCCTCACATGTACAAGATTCAAGGCACTTACTTTTGCATTCCCCAGTATTTGCTTTCACAATATTAGACGTTCTTTTCACCTTCATATTTAATTTCATAAACTCTCGAGTTTCACCCACTTCTTTGCTGCAAATTTCTGATTTTCTCTTGCACCCATGCGAGTAATCACCAGAACCCCACTCATACTTGGAGTTGGGCTCAAACCCAGGCAAGCACCTGCAAGTATGATTAGTGTCACTCCGACAGCTAGCGAAGGTCCCACAAGCTGATAGCACACTACATTTGTTTTCCGGTTCCGACCAGATGACATCCCACTTCCCACTCGCTCTATTTCTAGCAAGGAACTGTACCTTCCCACTGAAATCCATAACTGCTCTTGTGTAGTTGTAATCCAAGTCTTGATTTTGAAAACGAACGGTATAGTTGGTGGCCTTCAAATCACTGACACTAATCTTTGACAGTAAGTCCATGGCTTCAGCAATATTTCCATCAGTCTCGGTTGAGAAATTTTGCCATAGTTCCTTGCTGACCCAATACCGCGAACCACTTTTCTCGATGACGAAGCGGTCTTCTATATCCTTGAGAAACGTAAAATTCCCAGGCGAGGGGTCGTCTGAAGCTTTCCAAGAAGTCAACTTCAAGTCGTCGGTCATGTTCATGCCCGGAAGAAATGTATCGGTTGGATTTTGGAAGCTTTGCCACAGAGTTGTGCTGTTGACGCCTAATTGCTTGAGAACTAAATTCCCAGAACCCATCAGCTCCATTGTTGAATTGTGTGATTTCTCGAGGGCGGTGGACCATAAAGAAGTGCCGTTTGATGCCAATACCTCGAGATTGCCATCTTTGATAGCAAAAACTCCATTCTTGTCGGACAGTGGTTGGTCTCTGTTAGCAACCCACACAACGATCCGCGGTTTGGAATTATGAAACCATATACCAACGTATCTTGTGGCTTCTGAGGCTCCCTCTGGAGTGAAGAATCCAAGTTCAAATCTTCCTCCATCAGAGACTTGAGAGTCTTCATTCCTGTCTCTTAATATGTTGAAATTATCTGCGGAGGATGGAAGTAATAATAAGAACAAGATGCATAATTTGAAGATCATGGCCGCTACTCCTCTCATTTTCCATTACATAACAGAGCACTTAGATAGCATCTTCTCCTTCCCATCAGCTGCTTAGCTTCCATGTCTTTTCTTATTGAAAATTAAGCAGTAATACCCTTATCTTTGTCGTTCAGTGCAGACTCGCATAGCCACCGTATACTCCACTTTCGTTTAAATCTGTCGGTAGCATAAAAAATCTCCAAAGCTACAAGAAAGACGAGACTACAACCGCTACTTGCTCAATAGTACATCACCTTCCTCCTTGTCTTGACTTTCCTAGTTACCAAGTCTTTCTTCAAATCCTTGCTAGAAGGACAAAAGAAAAGATTCTTTGTAATTCGACTCAGACGAGTATAAATATTAGGTATATTGTTTATATTATATGTTGAGAATTATTGAGAAGAGTTCGTTTGAGGGGAGGATTATTAAGGGAGTCTCTATGGTGTGTCTTGTTCGAGAGGAAGAATTGTTAAGAATTATTGAGAACTATCGAGAGGATAGGAAGCCTCCCATTAAGATATGATATTTGGAGATATATTTTAATAATTAATTAGAAGCATATCTTTTAGGTTAGATTTAGATTTGATTAACCGTATGAAGATTATACTTCCGATCCCAATTCTATTTCTCATTCTTAACACCTACCGTGAAAACAAAAGGCAAAGCCACGAGAAATAGGATGACTACCGGGTCAGGTAAGCTAAAATCATCGTTTACATTTTCTTGCATAAACTCCAAAGAGGTTGTTGTAGAAGAAGTAGAAGGAGTTGAACTCTTATCAAGGAAAGCTGGCTGTTTAGGAATTGGAAGAGAAGCAGGATCACTGCCGGAGCTGAGCATAAAGGCCACATTTGACATGGTGGGGCGATCGCTGGGGTCTTCTTGTACACACAGCAATCCCACAGCCACACATTTAACAACTTCACTTGGATTGTAGCTTTCTCGCATGGCTACCTCTGCTATTTCCGTTGCTCTCTTTCCACTCCACAACTTCCATACCTGCGTACACCACCACCCAACAAACATCCAGTTCAAACTAAAGTAAAAGGAGTTTTGGATAGAAGCAACTTTATTGAAGAAGACTTATTCTGACATATCCAAGAAGATTCAGTGCTTCTACCGACTGGTAGAACCCTGTGTTCCTTATCCCACTAACAATCTCCAGCACAACTATACCAAAACTGAACACGTCTGAGAATGATCCATCCATCGCATATTCTGGGTACATGTAGCCGCTGCAATATACAACAACTGAAACATCAATTTGAATGTGACTACAAGGATAGATATCAATTGAACTAAGTTCCAACAACTCTCTTGGCAAACAGAGATGATATTAAACCGCATCTCCCAATTCACCAGCAAACATAGGGTTCGATCTACCAAAGAGAAGGAGTTTGGAAGCTTAGCTTCAAGTGTAATCATCAAGGTAATTAGGCAGAGGTGAGAGACGTGCCAAATATAAAAAAATCTAAGCTTTTGTTGGGCATATATTCATAGACCAAAATTTTTTCATCTCCTGCAACACAATTGCCCAAAAGTCTAACGAGGTTTCGATGCTGAAGTTTTGCGATGAGAATCGCTTCATTGTTAAACTCATATAAGCCTTGAGCGGAACCTTGGGACAGTCTTTTTATTGCAATTTCCAGAAACTGTTAGTTGTTTATAAACCAAGTTAATTGCTGGAAAACTGTTATGCAAACCTTGTAAACTGTCCCAAATCCTCCTCGTCCAATTTTGTTTGCTTCAGAGAAGTTGTCTGTAGCATTGAGTATGGTTTCCAAATCGAAAACGGGTACTTCTATGGCTTTTCTATCATCTTCTCCAAACATCCCGGAACCCATGAAGTCTCTGATACGCACCTCTCACTTTCGTACAAGTGGGTCATTACCAGATGTCCCCCAAGACTTGTTGTTTGCTCCTCTAGTATTAAGAAAAATAACCAGTCGGTGGATGACCCAGTACATCACATTACATCAAAACTAAGAAAGAAGTGCAAATTTATGTTACCTTGTGTTTTCTACCTTCCCTCTTCTATTGTAAATATACAACACTAAGTAAGAAATGACAATCAACCCAGCAATGGTCACTGGGACGACGATACCAACTCGTATATTTCTCTTCTTTGGATCTGGCTTGTTCAAACCATTCTCTACTAGTACATTGACTGCAATGATTATGAACAAAGAGTCTTAGTTTAATGATAAAGTTAAAAAAAAAAAACTTTGTAGGTTTTAGATTTTTACCTGGAAGACCACGGCAGTCGGTACCAGTCCAGTTAAAAGAAGAATTGCACAAGCACCTGTTTTTTCCGTCTGTTGATGAGTTGCATAATGAATTCTGCCAATTGGTGCAATCCTTTTGTGAATTGCAGATTGGCTCTAATGCCAATTGATGCACCCATGCGAGTAATCACCAGAACCCCACTCATCCTTGGACGTGGGCTCAAACCCAGGCAAGCACCTGCAAGTATGTTTATTGTCACTCCGACAGCTAGCGAAGGTCCCACAAGCTGATACCACTCTACATTTGTTTTTCGGCTCCGACCAGATGACATCCCACTTCCCACTCACTCTGTTTCTAGCAAGGTACTGTACCTTCCCACTGAAATCCATAACTGCTCTTGTGTAGTTGTAATCCAAGTCTTGATTTTGCAAACGAACGGTGTAGTTGGTGGCCTTCAAATCACTGACACTAATCTTTGACAATAAGTTCATGGCTTCAGCAATATTTCCATCAGTCTCGGTTGAGAAATTTTGCCATAGTTCCTTGTTGACCCAATACTGCGAACCATGTTTCTCGATTATGAACTGGCCACCCGTATCCTTGAGAAACCTGAAACTCCCAGGCGAGGGGTCGTCTGAAGCTTTCCAAGAAGTCAACTTCAAGTCGTCGGCCACCCCACATTTACCGCATTCATGCATCATTAAATTGATTGACAAGCATGTCGTCGACGGACGACTAGCCAAGTCAATCTCTGCATTCCAGCTGATAATGCTTGAAAGTGTCCTGGACGTTGCTGCTGTAATTGATGTCTCAAGTTCATTAAGCTTTTTTAATTTGATTTCTACTTTGGACCAAAGAGTTAAGCAGATTGTGCTTCCCAAATAGATGCAATCATTGTCTAGAAATTTTTGCGTCCAAGATGGCGCTCTGGGTACTACATCGTCTTAGTACATAAATAACCAACCACTATGTTTGAGGTTTTCTTTCTCTCAGGACCAAAATCAAGTAGTCTCATCCATTCTTTTCTGCTTTAATGTAAGTTAAAGACATCCTAGGGATACGTTTCACGGTTATGCTTTTTTAAGGCGTGTTGTCCATGGCCATATGTTCATGACATGCCAAAATCCTTAGCTTGTATCACTTTATTACTTTCCTTTACTACTTTCATGATGTATAGTTTCTTTATTGTATTTTCTACGTTTATGACCGTTCGGCAAAATCATGTCTACGCCTAGTAGACATGAAATACTCCAGAATCTACTATAAAGGAATGCGACCAGTCGTCAACTCCTCCCACCTAAATTTTGTATGACCGTTCGGCGAAATCACGTTTTGAGTTACTAGACTTGAATCGCCTCAAAATGCACAATAGGGGGATGCGACTGGTTGTCGAATTCTCCCTACCTAAAAAATTATATGTTATTTAAGCCCTTGTGTTGCATTTTGTTTGTAGTCATACAACATTGTTTTCATCTCTCTCTTAATCTTGCTTTCAAAATCTCTCTACCTCGTTTTTCAAAACGGGGCAAAGGCTTGAGCATACATTGCTCGGTCGTAGTCGACACAATTCTTAGTTGGCTTGACTCACTCTGTGCTAAGATTGAGTGTCATACAATCGGATGAATTTAAACATCTATCGTTGTGAAATGAATTTAACAATTTAAGACCTGCTTAGTTATCCTCACCCCCATAGTCCACGTCAAACTCATTAATTCTGAGATTATCACCATAATCCTGGAAAGCATTGAAATAAAGATACAATCAACTTCAACTATACAAAATTACCTCTACTTGCAGTCCCTACATTGTGAAATCAGCTCAACTATGGGTGAGATCTTATTGTGGTTGGAGAGAGAAACGAAATATTCCTTATAAGAGCGTAAAAATCTCTCCTAACAAACGTATTTTAAAACCTTGAGGAGAAGCCCTTGAAGAAAAAACCTAAAGAGGATAATATCTGTTAGCAGTGGTTGGAAAGGGGAACAAAGCATTCGTGATATAAGGGTGTGGAAACCTTTCTCTGATAGACGAGTTTTAAAACCTTGAGAGGAAGCCTTTGAAGGAAAAATCCAAAAAAGACAATATCAGCTAACGGCGGTTGGAGAGGGAAACGAAGCATCCTTGCCACGTCTTTTCTAAAAGCAAAAAAAATAAAGTTATGAGAATTTATGATCAAAGTGTCAATATTGCGTGGAGGTTCGTGATTGAGTAAAGATTAAAAGAAAATTACCAGGGCCTCGAGAATCATCGCCGATGAAAATCTAGAGGGCAGGAGCAGAAGCTTCGAGATAAAAACGAAGGATGAAATTGATGAACATTATCAGAGACGTTAAAGAGAGGTGTTCAAGCATCTAGAGGATATGAACATGTTGGTTTTGCTCCTTACCTATCGTCTCTTCTTCCTCCACACCCATGGCTTCTCTTGGCTCCAAGCCACTGCCTTACTCTGCGAGTCCTGGTTCACTTTCACCTGGCTCCTCCTCGTCGTCACCCGTTGGAATTTCTTCGACTACTAGACCTACCTGACCGCCTCCTCAAAAGGTAAATCTATTGAGAATTGTTGGAGAGGAGTCCTGCATATTGAAGGATGAAAATCTCACGTCCGCTAATTTAGTGAATGATCATAAATTTAATATTGTATTGTATCCATTAGTATGAGGCCTTTCAGGGAATTCCAAAGGAAACTCATGAGAGCTTATGCTCAAAGTGAACAATATCATGCTATTATGGAGAGTCGTGTTCGTCTAGCATGGTATCAAAATCATGCCCTAAACTTAGTTGTGCCAATAGATTAGCAAATCATCAAATGTCGAACAAAGGACTCCAAAAGAAAAGGCACTAAACAATGACTAAGACTCCAAAGGAGTCGAGCCTCGATTAAAAGGAGGAGTACTTTGTTCGAGGGGAGGTGTTAATGATGAAAGTCCCACATCGGCTAATTTAGAGAATGATCATGGATCTATAATCAAAGAATACTCTCTCCATTGGTATGAAGCTTTTTGGGAAGCCCGAAGCAAACCCATGAGAGCTTATGCTCAAAGTGGACAATATCATACAATTGTGGAGAGTCGTGGTCTAACATTGCATTCACTAATTTAGAGAATAATTTAAATCCAATTTAGTTTGCTGTTGTCCAAAGTTTTTGAACTCTCTACAAAATTACAATATTGCCAACATAAACTTTAAAGTCTCAGGTTAACGAAGATAGTATTTCTTGATTATAAACTCATGATCATTCCTTAAATTAGTCGATGTGAGACTTTCATCCAGTACCTCTCCTCGAACAAAGCAGGTCTCCCCTTAATCGAAGCTCGGACTCTTTTTTCTTTTTGGAGTTTTAGTCATTTTTTACTATATGTTCGAGGCTCACAATACTAAATTTAAGATATGACTCTGATACCAAGTTAAATGAACACGAATTTCTACAATTTTTAAAACACTTTCTAAGTGCAAATGAACAGAAAAGACAGCCCTTTTGGAAGACGATGGAGAGTTTCCATTAAACACGAAACAGAGGTCCGATTGTGTTCCGACAGCCACTCCTCAGAGTGCCCCTCACCTCTGTTTCTGCAAATTCTGTAGGTTTCTTCCTCAGCCAGCGATCCTCCATGTGCATCCAAGCAAAAAAGTATACCCAAATTGATGTGATTAAAATGCCAATCACTCTCCCCTGCATCACTGTCCCTCCTGAACTCACTAATAGCAAACCAACGCCGGAATTAAATGCATAGCAACTCCCCTGCCTCACACCGATGGTTGCACTCCCATTGGCTTTCTTTTCCGAAATTCTGGGTTTAGATATTGAAATTGGAAAAGACTGAGATGACCCAGATGGCTCCACTCCCACTAGTTGGTTGTCTCTGTTTTTTTGGTAAATTCCGCCTACCGGAGAACTTCCAGAATCCAGGGATGAACTTCGTTTCCGGCGGTCAGATTTCTGTTGGTGGTTGCTTCTTCTCTCACGAACTTTTTTGATCTAAAACAGAGGAACAAAAAAGACCCACGTGCTAAAAAACGAACAAAGTTATAAACAACTAAACTACACCAAATCACTACTGACCAGAATGGTACCAAACACGATGGCTCTGGCCATCCGAGAAAGATTTCGCTTTGGTGGGCGAGAAATGGCGGAGCAGTCTCGGCCGGAATTTCTGGAGCATCGACAACTGGGGCAGGACGGGTCGATTCTAGAAATTCTTGTTTCGTCATCTTCAAGGTCAAGATAGGCCGCCAAAGTGGTGGTGGGTTTTGTCTCGAGGACGGTTCCCATGTCAATGGCAGGTCGGAAACAGAGCAACCAAGGCTGTATAAAGAGACGAAAGCGTTGATTTGTATGACCATCATGGTTTTCGGCATAATCAATGAAACCAAAAGAAGCAACACTAAAAATGTCAGGATGTTTTTACCGAAGAAGCCGGCAGCTTGATAGAAACTAGGCGGAATTTGTATCAAGCTGGCGGCTTGATACTCAACATTCTAAAACTGCCCCGAGTTTGTTAAGAATGAACACGACTCTCCACAATTATATGATATTGTCCATTTTCAGCATAAGCTCTTAAGGATTTACTTTCGGCTTTTCCAAAAGGCGTCAAACCAATGGAGATAGTATTCCTTGATTATAAACTCAGGATCATTCCCTAAGTTAGTTGTGGGACTTTCATCCAACACCTCCCCTCGAACAAAGTACGTCTCCCCTTAATTGAGGCTCGACTCTTTTTTCTTTTGAAATTTTAGTCATTTTTTACTATGCCTTTGAGGAGCCTCAACTCCTTTTTCTTTTGGAGTTCTTTATACGACATTTGAGGATTCTATTGACATGACTAAGTTTAAGGCATAATTCTGATACCAAGTTAGATGAATACGAGTCTCTATAATAGTATGATATTGTCCACCCTGATCATAAACTCTTATGGCTTTGCTTTAAGCTTCCCAAAAATACTCAAACCAATGGAGATAATATTCCTTGATTATAAACCAATGATCATTCCCTAAGTTAGCTAATGTGAGACTTTCATCTAACAAAGACCTCTATCGATCGATCGATCTATCTATATATATATTCAATTAAATGATAAAAAAAATTGACTACATTATGAAAAATATTATATTCATTAATGATTTTGAAAAACCAAAATTACAACGATGAGAGCTTATACTCAAAGTGATAATATCATATCATTGCGTAGTTTATTTGTCCTATCAAATAGTATCAGAGTCATGCATTTATCTTAATTTAGTCATATCAACCATATCAATAGAATCTTCAAGTGCCAAACAAAAAATTTGTAAGTTTCGAATGCATTAAGATCCATGGAAAAATTCTCTTAGACTAGCAAGGTGCTCGAGAGAAGAAGAGTTAGAATAGTATTAAATAGATAGATAACTGTTAAAGACAGACTTTAGTCGTACATTAAGAGTATAGATAATATTATACAATTATTGAAATTTGTTATCTTATCGAACAAACATAATCACCATGTGAATTGGTAGACTTGACTCGAAGTGTGTACGTGGAAAAATGTGTCCAATGTTCCATCAACATCTTTCGAATGGAACACAACACCATAAATGCATTCATTTATAATCAAATATTCAAATTACCATATGCATATGAATGGTTTAAATTAATACATAAATATTTATTTTTTTAATAAGCTTTAATTAGATCAATAATTCTTATTGAGGGGATATTTCTAGTCCATTGTTAATAATTTGGATATTTTTATTAGTAAATATATACACTTTATTTTAATATTTGTTGAAATAAGACAAATTCTCAAACGTGTGGTGTGATGTGTCATGAAATTTCTGCAATGTGGGTCCCACAATTAAATATATGACATTTTTCCACGTGGCTTTTATTAAAATGCTTCAAAATATAAATTCACCAGAATTTATTAATTATTCCGTTGAAAATATGTGAATTCGCCATATAAAAAGATTTTACTTTTCACATGTCACGAAGATTTTTTAATAAAGAAAAAACAAAAATTTTTAATGTGGGATTGAAAATTTTTGACATTAAAATGTGGCGAGTTGACTGATTAAAGGTCACGTGTAATATATTTATTGGTTGTTTAAATACTTATGATAAAAAATCATTTTTTAATTATTTAAAATATTTTATCATTTTAAATACAAACTTTCGTACTACCAAAATTTATTTCGAGTGATTAAAATTATATCTAGAAATATCCCGTCCCTACCACCTTTTTCAAAAAAAAAATTTAAAAAATTTAAAAACATTCTATTGGTATTTTTTAATATATTTTTATTTAAAAATATAAAAACATTCTAATAAATTTAATAATATTTAAAATTTAATTTAATGATCCATGAATATAAATTCAAAAAATTCAAATTTTATATATTTATTTAAACCGTCCTAATATAATCTAGAGAAAATAGGAAAAGACAATATAATCTCTGACCCATTTAGTTAATAAAGAGAAATTTGTATCTCATCTTCCCTCGATTTTCCATTTAAACCAAGTTTCTCCACCTTGGTGAATGTCCCACAGAACCCGAGCACTAAATACACATCTCTAACCATTCTAAACATTAGAACGCCCTTATATTTGCATCACAACTCCTCAACTATTTCATGTTCATTATTCTATCTCTATCGGCATGGAAGAAGAGGGTGATGAGAGAGAGAGAGAAAATGGTGAAAATGGAAGAAAAAAGGGTAAATGGAGTAAGGAGGAAGATGAGAAACTTAGAGCTTATGTTACCAAATATGGCTCTTGGAATTGGCGCTTAATTCCCAAGTTTGCAGGTAATTCATTCATTCTGAACTAATTATTTCATGTTTGGTCACTTAGTTTTGCTAATAAACATGAACATGGAACCATTTAGGTCTATCCCGATGTGGAAAAAGTTGTAGATTGCGTTGGATGAACTACTTGAGACCTGATATCAAAAGAGGGAACTTCCAGAAGGAAGAGGATCAAACCATCCTTCGATTGCAAGCAACTCTCGGCAATAGGTATCTTTGTTGAGGATTGTGTAAGGAATAATAATATGATATTGTCTATTTTGAGCCTACATCTCTATTGGTACGAGGCCTTTTGTACTTGTTGGGAGTAAGTCTCACATTGGCTAATGTAGGGAATGATCATGAGTTTATAACTAAATGAATACATTTTCATTGGTATAAGGTCTTGGGAAGCCCAAAGCAAAGTCATAAAGTGAATAATATCGTACTATTGTCGAAAACCCTACTCTTACATATGCATAATGAATTTGGGCAGGTGGTCTGCCATTGCTACTTATTTACCAGGAAGAACAGATAATGAAATAAAGAATCATTGGCACACGAACTTAAAGAAACTTTTGGATCAGAACCCGTCAAACACGGAGGTTGAAGATGCAGCAGCTAGTTCATGCTCGGAACTAAGAATCCGAGAAGAAGAAGAAGAATTGGATGAAACCCTTATTGTTTTGAATTCAGAAATGGCAACCCCAGAATTAGCAGCCAAGCATGAAGGCATGAACTTTGGGGAAACTGAGACATGGGTTGTTGGTTTGAATGCTGAACACTCTATGGAAGTCGGCGGCAACTTGTGGACCGATCCTTTTGTTTTTGAAGACCCTTTAAGTTTGGATAATAACCCAACTCATGTACCAATGGATCTCTTTGAACATTATGAAATGTTTCCTCCCAGTAATTGAACACAAATAATAAACGAGGTCATTGGCTTAAATGTTAGTTGAAAGAATTCAAAGTAATGAAATGTCGTGATATGGACCTAATAGCTACGATGTAAACACAAATACAACTATCCTATCTTATATTCTATGACTTTCATTATCCTATCTTCGATTCTATGACCTTCGTAACGACGTTGTCATTCATACAGAGTGTCTTATTTTTAACTAAAAGAAATAAGAATAGCACGTGACTTGAGTTTTTTTTAAGAAATAATCAGCAAGTAAGCTCATAATTGTGGTCAGAAAATGCACCCACGTGTAATCATGTTTAGATCTATTCTTTTCTAATACATCATGACATGCCTTGATCTCTACTTCAAGTCGATTATATCCAACTTTGAGCAAAATTTAACAATTGGATTGAAAGATATAGTAGATTTTCTCGAGTAGAAATGAATTCGGGCTGAAAATTAGGTATAGTGGCAATTTTGTAATTTTGTGAACCTCAGTGGCTTTTTGATAATTTTTCCATTTTTTTAATATTTTATTATGAAAAAATCCCAAATTTTTATACACACTCCTTTCCTTACTTTGTCACTTTTCCCTTCTGGACCCTTGAGATTATTTCTTCCAAATTAATTAAAAAATCAATAAGTTTGCTAAAAAATTAGTAAAATGACCATTATACCCTTTTTCATTCCCAATTCTTTTACAACTTCGTTTAATTCCTTTTAAAATCTTACTAGGGCACCTTAAACTTACTCGTTAGCATTTAAAAAGTTTTTGAACTTCCGTGGTGTTAGCTCGTAAGTGTTCCATTTGGTAAGCCCAACTCTTTGTGTTTGTACAAACACGTTGATTACAAAGTTGAAATCTACAACAATCAATATCAACAGTAACCTATATGATATCACTATCTATCAAACCTTCTTGAGTCATTTTCATTTGAAATAATTCACCCGTATCGTCAGTAGCCTATTAATCTCTTTTCATGAAACTATATTTTCACCATCACAGTAGAAACATTGCTAAATCTAAATATATTATCAATTATCAATGCATCAAATAACATGCACATTAAATTATCTTATACAAGGACATAAAAACATTACGATACTACATCTTTTCTTTGGGCTTTAGAGCTCCCGAGTATCATGAAAGTATCATTGCACTCTTGTGTTGATGCTAAATCCATGAATGGAAAGAAATATGACTTTGTTGATGAAAAATTAATATCATGATATTGACTCGTTCAATAATAGAATAGAGAAAATACGTGTATGACATAGGAAGGTAGAGTAGAACGTTAGAGGTAGGAATTGATATCACATTATTGCAGATTTTAAGAATGTGTGGTCTAGGGTTTTTAGCTCCCATTTTCTAAGTTAGAACCTTAGAAATTTGTGGGGGACGATGATGTTATGAAATCCTGACAGGGCACAATCAGTTTGGTTTGTATAACAAAAAACCACGACCAATCAATTAATTATAGGACCCGCATCTGAACTGTGTTGAAACAAACCAAGATTCATCATTCACACAATGAGCCCTATGAGCCCTATGAGCCCTATGTTCGTCAAGCCCATTAAATTCGGGCCGCGATCGTTCTTGAAAGTAGATTTAGGTATGAAAATTTCTGTGGATATTATGATTTAAGTGGTCCTATTGTGTGTTCCATGCTAGGAAGCAATACTCCTTCTTTCATTACAAATTCAAGAATATGACCGATACGATTGATTGGTCTATGTGTCTCTCTTATTAGTATCCCATGTTCATTGGATACAATTCGATCCTTCTATGGCCAAATCTCAATTTGTGGAAAGCCTTCGATGACTTCTTGATGAAAATATCAATTTTTATTTGGGTAGAGATAGTTTCTCTTTAGTGAGGTCTTACATCGATTGGAGAGAGGAACGAAATATTTCTTATAAATGTGTTAAAATCTCTTTCTAGGAGACGCTTTTTAAAACCGTGAGGCTGACAACGATACGTAACGGGTCAAAGTGGTCAATATCTATTAGCGGTGGGCTTGAGCTGTTACAAATGGTATCAGAGCTAGACATTGGTTGGAGTAGAGCTAGACCTTCTCCATAGTTAAGCGCGTTTAAAAACCATAAGGTTGACGATAATAAGTAACGAGCCAAAATGGACAACATCTACTAGTGGTGGGCCTGGACTGTTACAAATGGTATCAGAGCTAGACACCGAGCAGTGTGCCAACGAGGACGCTGGCCCCCAAGCAAGTGGATTGTGAGATCTCATATCAACTAGAGAGTGTTGAAACCTCTTCCTAATAGACGCATTTTAAAACCGTGAGGCTGAAGGCCACACGTACGGGTTAAAGCAAACAATATCTACTAACAATGGGCTTAGGTTGTTACATCTTTATTCTTCGTGATATTGACCACATTTCTAAACACTACTATAAGTCAAGAGGCAGATCTTCTCCCACTCCACCCATTTAGAGACTATTAATCCAATAGTGAGCGTATGCCTGACATTTGTAAAGTAAACGAAAATGGTTTTAAGAATTTAGTCAACAATAATTCAAGCTTAAGCTTGTTCAATCAAAAACAAATTTGGGAAAATTTAGGTACACTATGAACATAAAACTAAAATCAACGATCGTTGTTGTGGTTGAAGTTGGGAGGAAAATAATTGTCAATCTCATGGGTCCTCAAATCTTGGACGGATCTTTTTTTTGTAAAGCTTTTTAAATTGTTAAATCAACTCTTTTAAACAACAAAAATTCATGATATTGTCCATTTTAAGCATAAAATCTCGGGAATTCAAATATACCTCAGATTGAATAAATAAAGAATAAATTATATTTTCAAAAGAATTTGATACTATCGAAGGTGTTAAATGAACACGACTCTACACAATGTTATAATATTGTCCACTTTTAGCATAAGGTATCATGGGTTTGCTTTAAGTTTTCCAAAAGGTCTCGTACCAATGAAAATGGTATTTCTTGATTATAAACCCATGATCATTTCGTAAATTAGTCGAGGTGGGACTTTCATTTGAGAATAATTTGAATTTCGAATGAAAGCGATCGAAAACGTGGAACACATACAGAAAGTGACAAGGTAAGGATGAGGCCTACAATCATAGATGACTGTAGTTTTGTGATAATCCAACGCTCTTGACCTCTCGTTTGTTGCGTGTTTTTCGTTTTACGAAAGGTTTTCAGCCATTTTTTTGGTTTGTTTTCACACTCATATTTCTTCTATCTTAGCACAAACATTGAAATCGCAGGAATGACGACATGGGTCTTGTAAGCTTCTTGGCTCAGCTCATCCCCACTCCACGCGGATTGTGTCTGCTGTCGGATCCTTGTGAAGTTGTTGATTTAAATTCAGTCCCCTATAGCACCACTCCAAGCTCGCTCACCCACTCTCTTGGTGTCTCTGTTGGTGAAGAAAATGGTGCGAGCTCCTGTTGTTGATAAGGATGGAGTGAGGAGAGGTGCGTGGAGCTTTGAAGAAGATGAAAAGCTTAGAGCTTATGTTCAGAGATATGGCCCTTCCAAATGGCGGGAGCTTCCCACGCTTGCAGGTACTCTTATCCATCTTTAGCTACTTATAAACATGGGTTTTTGAAAAGGATTCTGATTTGGGTTTTGGTATTTGTAGGGCTGACCCGATGTGGAAAGAGTTGTAGATTGCGATGGTTGAATTATCTTCGTCCGGGTATTAAGCGAGGGAATTACACAGATGAAGAGAATGACTTAATCTGCAATCTCCATAAGAAACATGGCAATAGGTATCGAGATTAATTGGGTCTAGTGGGTGCTTCTAAAATGATACGATATTGTCCACTTTGAGTATAAGTAGTCTTATGGAATTTCTTTTGGTGTCTCGTACTGATGGATGAAGATAGTGTTCCTTACTTATAAACCCATAATCAACCCTTTAATTGAGTCTCGACTCATGTTTTAGAGCCTTCGAATAAAGTATATCATTTGTTAGACACTTGAGTCACTTTTGACTATACTCATCTCTCGATGATCCTCCCCTTGAACAAAGTACATCATAGAGTTTCTTCTGAAGCCCTCGAACAACCTCCCCTTAATCAAAGCTCACTCCTTTTCTAGAATACTTAGAATAAAGTACACCCTTTGTTTACACTAGAGTCACATTTTGATTAGTTGATGTGAGACTCCTCTCTCAACAATCCTCCCTAGAACAAAGTACATCATAGAGCTTCCTCCGAGGCCTACAGAGCACTCGAACAACCTCTCTTTAATCGAGGCTCTACTCCTCTATAACTCTCGAACAAAGTACACTCTTTGTTCGACACTTGAATCACTTTTGACTACACCTTTGAGACTCACAACTTCTTTGTTCGACACTCAAGGATTCTATAGTATGATATTGTCTACTTTGAGTGTAAGCTCTCATGGCTCTCATATCAATAGAGATAGTGTACCTTACTTATAAACACATGACCAACCTCTTAATTAGCTAACGTGGGACCCCTCTCCTAACACAAACTATTATATTAATATGGAAAATTAATTGTTTATATTCTTAATGTATAGATGGTCGACCATCGATGCAAAACTACCGGGAAGAACAGACAACGAAATAAAGAACCATTGGAACGCACACCTAAAGAAGCAACAATCATCCACTCAACCAAAACCAAAGCAATTAACATCCCAAGTGATTGAAGCAAAAAGAGAAGACTTTACGGGCTATTCCTCCACCACATTTGGGATTCTAGAGAGCTCATCTTTGTCCCAACAAACATCTTCATGCGATGACAATTTCGCCACCCAAAATTGGGGAGTGGAAGATCATGATCGAAGTGGGTACTACGAAGATTTCTGGACTGAACCGTGCGTGAGTGATGTTCTTGATGGGTGCTTAGAATTCTCAGCAGACTATGGAATTGGTATCTTTTCGCCACAACATGATGCGAGCTACGATGATAATTACATAGATTTGTTCTGCTCCTTACTGTAAGTGAATGGCGCCCATTTGGGTGTTTCTTAGATTGTTCTTCCTACTCTAGTGGCGTTATGATGATGCATTTGGGGTTTGTAAATTTTTTGTGCCCCATATCGTCACAAGTTTATGAACAGCTTTGATCTAATTGTTGGAGTTCGACGAACACAATTTTCCACAATGGTATGATATTGTCAGCATGAGCTCTCGTGACTTTAGGTTGAACTTCCCCAAAATGCCTCTGAAAAAAGTATTGTTTGATTATAAACCCTTAACAATAATGTGAGACTTTTATCTATCTACTATTGAAACGGTTGTACAATAATTTAATATCCGACCCATAATCAAACCCTTTTGAGGCCGGGCATTGGGCTGAAACAAACAGCCGCCAAATGTATAGTTTAAAGTTCTATACTCATCATTGGTATTAACAAAAAAGTCACCCAAAAAGTTGATTTGAATTAAGTTTCAACATAGCCCCACTTCAAATAACTTTCATAGTTTTGTAATGAAAAAAAAAAAAAGAAAAAAAAACTATTTACTAGATTGTTTTTTTCTCTAATTATTTATTTATAGGTGGTTTGATTTGTTTGATTAAATTTTTGTTTGTAGCAGTATCACTGTAAGCCTCATAATTTTAGCAATTCATTCGACCTATTGTCTAGTATCATCGTTGACACACTATTCTGTGTCTAAATCTTAGATTCCATAATCCACTCATTTAGAGACTTAACGTACTCACTAGCCCATCACCTCATATGTATCTCACATTCTATGGAGACCACAATTCATCTTTTGGGGCCACTGTTTAAAAATAAAAATGGTTGTTTGTGTGAGATCTCACCTCGGTTGGATAGGGAACTGTTAAGGATATTTAGTAATAAATTATTGTTTATCATATATATTATATTTGATATTTTATTATAAGGCAAATATTAGATATTTGCCTTATTATCATAGGTATCTTTCCATTTATTGTTATTTCTATTTATTACTATTTCCATATCGTTGTAATTTATTTGATTATAAATAAGATAACTTTCACACCATTTAGGTGTGGTGGATTAATCAAACATTCACATGGTATCAGAGCCCTCTCGGTTTAACAACCCCGATCCTTTCTTTTGAATGGCTTTTGAATCCTCTAATCTTCTTTTCCACCACCCCTGCTGGTTTTGACGCCGCAGGGGCAGTCTTCATGGTTGCCGTAGTCGGAGCCGATTGATTACTCTTCGGCTCCACCCTATTGACATCTAAATCACCTTTCGTCATACTCNTCCCTCTGCAATTTTTGATGGCCAAGAACCGGGTTGTTAGCATCTTCATGAAAAGTGTTTCTCAACCTCTTTGAATTTTTCAGATTCAAGCTTCACGTTCGTTTAAATCCGACGCTTAGCTTGCGGTGGGGTGTTAAGGATATTTAGTAATAAATTATTGTTTACCATATATATTATATTTGATATTTTATTATAAGGCAAATATTAGATATTTGCCTTATTATCATAGGTATCTTTCCATTTATTGTTATTTCTATTTATTACTATTTCCATATCGTTGTAATTTATTTGATTATAAATAAGATAACTTTCACACCATTTAGGTGTGGTGGATTAATCAAACATTCACATGGTATCAGAGCCCTCTCGGTTTAACAACCCCGATCCTTTCTTTTCAATGGCTTTTGAATCCTCTAATCTTCTTCTCCACCACCCCTGCTGGTTTTGACGCCGCAGGGGCAGTCTTCATGGTTGCCGTAGTCGGAGCCGATTGATTACTCTTCGGCTCCACCCTATTGACATCTAAATCACCTTTCGTCATACTCTGTACATACAACCTCACCTTTTCCAACCCAATCGGTTTTCTCCTTGGCCAATATAGTCTCTCTCATTTTCTTCCCAATCAACCTTCATCCTTCACATAAACCCTAACCTAAACCTATAACCTTTTGCAGAGATTTACCTTTGGAATCTGGGTGCCGCACTGGCCTATTCGCCAACCAAGTTGCCGCCGCCCTTCCTGCCAAAATTGGCTTCTTCGCCCGGTGAGGCGACTCTTCCGACTGCCCTTCTCGCCAAAATTGGCTCCTTCGCCCAATGTGGCGACTCTTCCGGCTTCAACATTGTCTTTGTCCCTTGCTCTAGGTTTCCCCTTCTACTTCTTGGGGTTAGAAATATTCTCATCAGAGCCAAGGCAGCATCGTCGCTAAGCGACAATCCCTCTTCATGGGTTAGACATATTCTCGCCAAAACCAAGGCAGCATCGCCGCTGAGCGGCGATCCCTCTGCAATTTTTGATGGCCAAGAACCGGGTTGTTAGCATCTTCATGAAAAGTGTTTCTTAACCTCTTTGAATTTTTCAGATTCAAGCTTCACGTTCGTTTAAATCCGACGCTTAGCTTGCGGTGGGGTGTTAAGGATATTTAGTAATAAATTATTGTTTACCATATATATTATATTTGATATTTTATTATAAGGCAAATATTAGATATTTGCCTTATTATCATAGGTATCTTTCCATTTATTGTTATTTCTATTTATTACTATTTCCATATCGTTGTAATTTATTTGATTATAAATAAGATAACTTTCACACCATTTAGGTGTGGTGGATTAATCAAACATTCACAGGAACAAAACTACAATCGTGTTGAAACATCTTCTTAAAAGCTTGTCCCAAGAGTGTGAATTGTGAGATCTGTGTGTAAATCTCTCCTACATTTTAAAATCGAGTCAAATACTGGATAGTGTACGAGCAAGAACTCGAGTGAGAATAGGATAATGAATATATAGGCAGGAAGGAAAGGAGGGAGCATGGGGTTGTTTATAGATATGTAGGGTTCCTTTTTTGTGCGAACTGGTGCCAACATTCTGGGTTTCGGCTATTAAAGAGAGAACAGAAGCTTGGGTGCATATAGTTAGGTATAGACCATCTGCACAGCCCCTCCATGCATTTATGAAACATTTGGATGCAGCATCACCCTTGATATCAATCCAAACCAAACCCCTTTTATGGCCGTTCATCTCTCTCTTTCTCTCTCTCGGTTTGCATGTGACTTTGCTCAGAAACTACGACGCATCAATGGAACAGGAGCGGTTAGATACGGGACTCTCCACAATGGTATGATATTCTTCACTTTGAGCACAAGCTCTCATGATTTTGCCTCGTACCAATGAAGATGTATTCCTTACTTATAAACTCGTGATCATTTCCTAAATTAGCCAATGTAGGACTTCCTCTTAACCATACTCAACAATTCTCTCCTCGAACAAAGTACCTTATAGAGCCTCTCTCTGAGATCTATGGAGCCCTCAAACAGCCTTCCCTAAACTGAGACTCGACTCCTTCTCTGGAGTTCTCGAAAAAATGAATATATTCCTTACTTATAAACTCATTATCATTTTCTATGGAAACCTTTCCCTTGAGGAAAAGTCCGGATGGAAAAATCAAAAGAAGAAAATATCTACTAATAGAGGGTTTGAATCATTACAACGACTCTACGCTATAAACACAGAGACCCATTATCTACTCATTCATATTACGAGAGCGTTCTTACCTTTTTTGTGTTACACAAAATCGAAGCAACAATCCAAACTCTCCAACTTTTTAAGTGGTCTCACTACTATCAACTCTGTCTCTTCAAACTACATTATTGTTTTCCCCCTTTTGTTAAGTAATTATGTCTACTCTATGAGTGTCTCATGCACAAAAATGGATTCTTTTCACATGCCTACTTATTATCCCTACCAATCCTATGCCATTATTGTCTTACCTCAAGATACTCATATTAATGACTAAGCTTCATCTTCTTCTTTGAACCATATGTTATTTATGCGTGTGATCATGAACTTAATAATAGTTTAGGCATGTTTAATATCATAAACTCGTTGTTGTGACGTGAAGTTCACTCTAAAGAAGCCAAGGGTAAGTGGATGAATTTTGAAAGACAAAAGAAAGCCACTCATTTGGAGGAGGACCCAACTAAGTTTAAAGTAAAACACGACACATTATAGGACTTGGAACCTAAATCTAAGCTAAAGTCGTCTCCTTTTTTGAATATCAAAAGTTTAGGGTTTAGGGTTTTGAATATCCATGTAATAATAGCATTGGTATCAAGTTTTAATTTGAATGTTATCTCTCTCTCTTTCCTTCTTTTATCGCCCCTCTCAACTGTCCCACGTAATAAAAGCATGTTCTTATTATATGCTTGATAGGGAAATCTCATCATAGGGGCCATCAAATGGGTTACCAAACATGTAATATTTTTGAATTTGTGAGATCCCACGTCGATTAGAGGGGACGAACGAAACATTATTTATAAGAATGTGGAAACATCTCCTTAATAGACATGTTTTAAAACTGAGGCGGATGGCAATACATAATGAGCCCAAAGAGGGAAATATCTACCTGGGTTTGGGCAATTACAAATGCTATCAGAGCCAAACACTGCATCGTATGCTAGCAATGACGTTAGCTCCCAAGAGGTGGATTGTGAGATGCAACATCGATTGAAAAGTGGAACGAAATATTTATTCTCCTTAGTATACATGTTTTAAAATTATGAGGCTGACAGAGATACATAATGAGTCAAATTGGGCAATATCTAATAGAGGTAGGCTTGGACGGTACAAATGATATCAAAGCTTGACACTGACGATTCACTGGCCCCCAATAGGGTGGATTGTGAGATACAATAATAGTTGGAGAGGAGAACGAAGCATTTGTTATAAAGGTGTGGAAACCTCTCTCAAGTAGATGCGTAATGGTAATACGTAACATACTAAAACGGATAATATTTATAACAGTGATTCTCAATTTTGTCGGCTCGTCTCCCTTTAGGATTAGTCAAAAAAGTGTATAAGAAAGCACAAGAAATTATTGAATTAGGTATATAAAGTATAGAGTTAATCTGTGCTAGAAAACTAAGCGACAGAAACCACACTAAAACCCAAAACACAAATCCAACGCCCAACGACCACCACCACCACCACAACGGCCTCACCACTTCAAAGCTATGTTTTGTCGTTCTTTGGTCCTAATAAACCCAACAAAAAAGGAACACAAATTCCTTCTTTTCCCCTGATTGCCCCATACTTCTACACATTACATTACATACATACAATACCAAACCAAACAAACCAAAACTATTCTGCCATTGCCATCCTCATCGTCGTCTCATCAACAGTGCTGTATACACCTCTCATTCTTGCTCTGCCTAACACCCACCTTTCTCTTCTTCCCATCCTTATCTGCTCTGTTCGTCACGGCGGCGGAGGAGGAGGATGTGCCCATGAACGTGTTTTCACTTTCAGAGCTCGAGAAATGGTGGTCCAGCACATTGGCCGCCGTGTCCGACCTCTGTTCTATATCCAATCCTCCTCTTTCGTACCCATTTATTACTATCTCCTGCACTGCCTTGAAGCATCTCCCCAACATTTCCTCTTCCTCCTCCTGCACCACCCGCAGTCCTTTTTAATCACAATCTCCCAATTATATATTTCTCTAATTTAAGATTGCATTTATTGCATTCTCCTCTCTCTGTCTCTCTGTCTCTCTGTTTTAATGAATTTTAACATAAAAAGAGGAAAGTGGGGTATTTACTTTATTATCGTATGAACAGTTGAGAATTGCTTTTCTGAAGCAAGGATATTGGATTGGGAAGAGCTCGTGTGCAGCGGAGAGCAGAGCAGAGGCTGCAATTACTGATGGCTTGAACTCCAAAAGCTCAATCCCTACGAACAAAGAAGCAAACGCAATGTCTGTTGATTGATGCACCAAGAATGTGAAGGAAAAAAGTTCCTTTTTTAGATTTTTAATTCATTACCATTTTGAGATATGAAGATGATCTCTGTAGCTCTGCCTTTGAGAGCTTGCAACAATGGTGGGTCTCTGAGTTCGAAGAGGGAAATGAAGAAAGGGACGAAGGAGAAGGGAGTGATGGAGCGCATTCTCCATTTAAGAGCTCCCAAGATGAGAGATTCCATTCTGTGTACTGTCTGCGGATCAAAGATGAAGCACTCATTGCCCTGTTTCAGAAAAAAAACAGAGTTAGCTCTGGATTTGCCATTTGGGTATTGCCTACTTGTTCAATAATACCTGAAAATCGAAGAGATTGTGCTCTGTTTGCTTCATTTTGGCAGCGAGAGAAACACAAGAGACAGCAAGAAGCCTCAAGACCCATGGCTTTGGTTGCTGTAAATAACGAACAACGATTTTCAAAACAGGGGAAACAGGTGAAGAACGAACGCTCTGTTTTAGTTTCAGTGAAAAGACATTACCGGCACTCCCTGGAAGGAGAAGAAGCGATCGAGGTAATTGACGGCAAGGTACGACAAGTGTGGATCGATGTTACAGCTACAACAGCACTGCAAATAACAGAGAGAATCAGGGGAAAGAAACCCATTTGGAGGAGTTAAAGAACAGAAGAAGAAATGGGTTACCTGAGAGATGAAAGAAATGGTGTCCCGTCGAACAGAGGAATCGGAAGGAGTAGAATGAAGGGTGTGGAGGTAGGTTGGAGAGAGCATGTGATCGGACTCGATGAGGAAGAGAGTGGCGGCGTCGGAGGAGTGAGGGTCGTGGAGATGGGTCAATGGGTTTTCGAGATCGAAGTCCATGGAGAGAGAGAGAAGGGAAGATGTTGAATGGGAGAGAGAGTGGTGGTAGAAGAGGGAAGGCATGGTTTAAAGAAGAAGAAGAGGAAGTGATGATGAGAAAAAGCAGAGGTTTCGCTGTTTCTTAAAAGAAGTTAGAGGAGACTTCAATGTTACTCCTTCCCTGCTTGGTAGTTTGTTATTGGGAACCAAAATTGGAAGAAAATGGAAAACTATAAATATATATATATATATATACTTTTTAAATTTTTAAATAATAATAATACTTTTTTTTTATCCATAACCGAGCAAAACATACAATATTTACTTAGTATTAGAGTCTGACCCGAGCGGTGTGTCAGCAAGGACATGAGATCCCATATTGATTGCACAAGTGCGAGAACATTTCAAGAGGGTGGCCAACGAGGACACTTGGCCCAAGGGAGTAGATTGTGGGATCTTACTTTCAGTTGGATAGATGTGAAAACTTCTCAAGGAGGTGGGTTGGGAGATCACAGATTGGTTAGATAGGTGCGCAAACCTCTCAAAGGGGTAGCTAGAAAGGACAAGCCCAAAGTTGTGAAATGTGATATCTCACTTCAGTTAGACAGATGTGGAAACCTCCTAAGAAGAGTGGATTGTAAGATCCCACTTAAGTTGAACAGGTACGGAAACCTCTCAAGAAAGTAGATTGTGAGATCTCACGTCGGATGGACAGGTGCGAAAACCTCTTAAGAGGATGGGCAACGAAGATGTTGGGTCCACGAAGTAGGTTGTGAAATATCATTTCAATTGGACAGGTGTGGAAGCCTCTCAAGGGAGTGGAGTGAGAACCCACATCAGTAAGACTGGTGTGGAAACTTCTTCCGAACATACGCGTATTAAAACTATGAAAATAAATATATAAAAAAAAATGAGTGAATTAATGTGTGCATAAAGTTAAATGATGAAATTGAGAAGCCTCCTTTTGCACATAGATTATGGAATATAATTAAGTAGGATTAGGACATGAATGTGTTGGAACTTTCCAAAGGACAAAAGGCATCATATTTTAATCACATATTTATGCCCTTAATCCTTGGTGGTTTTATGTTTAAAACTAAAATGAAACCCCATTTATTATGGAAATTAATTATGACCAACCGACCCTCCATTATTATCGACCACAAAATTTCATTGGATTCCCACAGTCAACTCTTTCCTTTCAAACCAAGCACAAAAGTAACAGTCCAAACCTACCGCTAACTGATATTGTTCTCTATGTACTTTCCCTTCAAAAGGTTCTTCTCAACGTTTTGAAAACGCATCTATTTGGAAGAGGTTTTCACATTTTCACTAATAATATTTCGTTCCAAGATCTCACAAATATAATCCCACCTTCCCTCTCTTATTTTCGGTCGAATCCTTTCTCAATTCAAACGATGATCAGGCAGATAAGAACATTCCAATATCTCGTATAATGATTTAAAGATTGACCAGACCACTTTAGAGGGGATTTATCCTTCTTTCTCTGCATTGATTTAAGAGAAAGTGTAAAGAGACCAAATTATTTTTTTTTTTCTTTTTTTTTTCTCCTTTAATTTTTAAATTGTAAAATCTTTTATAAATGGGTAAATAAATATAAATATAGTATATGGTAAAGCATTTTTAAATTGAATGTGACAGATTTTATGAGTGGGTATTTCACGCCAAACCCCCCATATGCACCATACACCATCATTCATAATTTCAATTATTTTTCCTATTTTTTAAAATATGTCAAATAAATACATACATACATACATACATTTATCTCCCAACCAACACACATTAATACCCACATCCACCATTATTTTTCTCCCATCTTAATTATTATGTCTCCCCTTTTACTACCATTATTATTTTTTAAACCTATACTTATCTAGAATTTAAAATACGGATTCAGCACCATATGACTTCGACATTCTCCTGCATTCTCACGATATGGTTTTGTTACTTATTCCTCGCTTCTTAAGAATGAACACTATCCCCACATATCAACACCGAGTCTTTCCAACATGTTTTGTTCTCACTCACATGTATCTTAGAAAAATTTCTAGAAAAATACGTTTAACTATGAAGAAGTTCCTATTATTGAGTCACCAAAACAGAATGTGCACTTTGTTAGTATAGATAGTAACTTTTTGGTTATGTAATAGGCCGAGCTCACCACTAATAAATATTATTTACTTTGGCCCGTTACATAGCTTTGTTAGACTCACGATTTTGAAATGTGTCTACTAAGGAGAGGCTTCATAATCCACCTTCTTTTGGGCTCAACATTCTTACTGACACATTGTGTAATGTCTGGCTCTGACGTTATTTGTAACAACTCAAGTTCACTTATAGTAGATATTGTCCACTTTTATCCGTTACGTATTGTCGTAAGTCTTATGGTTTTGGAACACGTCTACTAAGAAGAGGTTCTCGTACCCTTATAAGGAATGTTTCGTTCCCCTATCTAATCGATATAGAATTTCACAGGTTTATTCAAGTATTCCTTTTTTACTCTGATTTTAGATGTCAAGTAAAATGGTAAGAATTACGTTAGCATGCATGGAGCTTTTGTAGAGTTGAAAGACAAAAATAGAAAGCAATGGAGAGGACCTGAAGAATTCGACGGTGAAAGAGAGGTGTCGAAGAATGGTCAAGGAGACATAGTACACAGATGTCGTTAAAGACACCACTTAAGCTTCTTTCAACCACCTACACTTATCCATGTCCATGCCGTCTGCTTTTTTTGGTATTTGGATCGTCATGGCTTCACCAATTGGGCCTCCACATCCAAAACCAAAACCAAAACCAATCATGAATCACTTCAATTTCTAATGGATTGGATTAGAAGTTGTACATGATACGAATGACGATTTTGAGGGCTCGATGGCTCGAGTTGGGTTGAGAAATTTTTTTAGACCAACTTACAAGTTTGGATTAGTTGAATGGATAACCCCCTCCAATTCAAAAAATTTCGGAACTCAACCATTTTTAGGTTGGGTTAATGGCCATCAAAAAATACAAAATAAAAAATTTAGTTGGTCCGTGTTTATAATTATTCCACAATTTTTGACTGCCTTCGTACCTTTGAGGAGGCTTGACTCCTTTTGGAGTCCTTTGTTTGACATTTAAGGATTTGCCAATCTATTGACAGTCCATCATCCAATACAGTCCATCATTTCATCAGATCCTGGGCGTCCATCTCTGCTGGAAATGGCCTTAATGGTCCACTGCCGTCTCACGATCGGACTGTCGTGCAAGACCCAGAAGGACTCGAATCCGCTTTTCTCCGACATCACTGGAGCGTTGCTGAACCCATCTTTCTTGATAGTGAGCCCATCAGTCAGCGTTTAAGCGACAAGGTTCGAGCAACTTTCTCGCTGTCCAAACCCCAAATCTCGAGACTAAAAAATTGGGCGAATTCCCAGATAACCAAATCGACCCAATTTTCGAGTTTTGTAGTGACATGCTCTGTGGTTTGGGTTAGTTTCATTATGTCGCGTGAGTTAATCAGTGGCGGCTGTGGTGCAGAGGATGAAGCGTGCTGCTTCGCGTTCACAGCCAATTGCCGTAACGAACGACTTGGGTATCGAATCCCAGCGGAGTATTTTGGGAATTGCTTTGCGTTTTGCCTTACGACAGTAGAGAAGAGTGAGCTTTTGGGGGAAAATGGGTTAGTTGTGGCAATGAAAGCGATCGAGAAAAGAGTGGGAGAAGTGAAGAAAGAGACTTTGAAAGACGCAATGGCGGAGACGACCGTGTGGAAGGAATTTGTTGAACGTGGAACTATGCTTTGCGCCGTTGGGTCGCCGAGGTTGGGCGCGTATGACACCAGTTTTGGGTGGGGGAGGCCCATAAAGACCGAGGTGGTTCAAGTTGATCGTGGGAGGTTGTTTTCTATAGGAGAATCCAGGAATGAAAATGGTGGCATTGAAGTTGGGTTGGGTCTGGGTTCGACTCATATGGCTAGCTTTGTTGCCGTGTGGGAACAAAATCTAAAGCTTCTCGGTTGCTCATGACATAATAATAGTATGATATTGTCCACTTTGAATATGAGGCCTCTTAACTTTGCTTTGAGCTTATCATAGGTCTCACAACAGTGAAGAGAGTATTATTTGATTATAAACAGATGATCATTCTCTAAATTAGTTGATGCGGGACTTTAATCATCTAAGTACGCTTCCCCTTAATCAAACCTCGACTCTCTTTTTTTTTTTCCACTCTCATAATTTTATTCAAAACAATATCATACTATATTGGAGAGTCCGGTTCATCTAACAACTTGCATGAAAGTAAACAAAATAACATTTACCTAAGTGGAACTAAAAAAAAAAGACTTTTGGAATAAAAAATAAAATAAATAGTTGATATGACGGCAATGGAATTTAAGGTGAAAAGTAATTTATGTTGAATAAAAATAATAAATGAAGTAATTCGGGGAAGATTTATTGTTGTTAATTACACAAACTCCTTTCTAAATTACTACAATAAAAAAAAATTAATGTAAAAAACAAACCAATTTCTGTTCTTAATTTAACAACTTATTTAATAATACTTTTTTTAACACGTTATTTGGTATTAGTTTTTTTTGTTAGATAATTATTTAATTGTTTTGCTTGGCGAGTGAAGTCCACGCGGCGTAAATGTTAACTGGAATATGAATATTTTCTTTTTTTTTTTTAAGTTAACTGAAGAAATTATGAGCGCGCTGGAGATGGATGTGTAACTATCCGAAACAGGTAATGGCGACGCGCCTTTCTGAATCTTCCCTTCCCTCCACTTTCTCCGTTTATATATATATATAGTATGTTTTTCAGCCCACTGGGGAGAGAGGTGTTTAAGATTTCTTTAATTCTGTTCCGTCAACGCTTTGGTTTTCCGGTGGCTTTTCCGGGTTAGTTCGAACTTTTTTATTTGCTCCGCAGCCTTTTCTCTGATTCTCTTTTCGGAGATTTCTATATTGTTTGTTTTTTTTTGCTTCTTCTGGTATTTTACGGGCATTTCTAGGCGCCGACGGGGAAGACAGAGAATCAGAATAGTAGAATTTTTCTGTTTCGTTGATCTGTTGCTTCTCTGCAATTGTTTAACTCTGGAATTTGAATTTCCACCTGATTTTTTTTTCCTTGGGGGGAGGGGAGAGGGGGGGCATAATGATCTTTACGGATCAGAGATATTCCTTGCGCTTTTTGATGCTTTAACGTCTTGAATATTCTGAATTTTGTCTATTTCGCTTTTCGAATGGGCCATTTTCCCACTTTGAAAGATTCATTGCTGCCGAGCTGAGATTTTTCGTGTAATTTGTATGTAATGTTAATATCTTGTACAATTATGGACATGTAGCATTCGTAATCTATAATGTCGTTAACGTATATGTTGACTTGCAATTTTTGTGCTTAATTGGCAATTCATCACGGGGATTTCTCTGAAAGCGTTACCCTTGTGAATTTTTATTTTATTTTTAGAGTTCTGAAATCGGTTAAGAATCTATACCTAACCTGCTACTCATGATTCATTGCATTTGATATTGAAGATTTGTGGAGTACTGATCAACTGATCACAATGATTGGCATCTATAATCTTTATTTGGGGACTGAATAAGTGATGGGATGAAGTTTCATTTATTTTATTTTCTTATGTTTTTGTTCCCAAATGATTCATGCTACTAGTGTAGAATGGTATTATCTTGAGAAACCTTTGGTATTCACATAACCTACTAATTCCAAAAATTTTGCAATTCATTGATTTATGTGATTTAAGGATATCTATTTTGCTTTGTTGTCTGCATAAATCAGACTCATGATGCCCATTTTACTATGAGTATAAATTTATGGACACTTTCCCAATTTTTTTTTTGATGATGATGCAAATCGTGCAATGATGCAGTTCGAAGCAATGGCGACAAATTTCCAATTTGATTCCGATTTCTTTAAGAATTTTCTCATCCCTGATTACATACTCCGACCTGAAGCTGAAGCTAAAGTTGAGAGCGTTCCTTATGTTCCCAATTGTCCTGTTTTAGTATTTATCAACTCCAGAAGTGGTGGTCAGCTTGGTGGCAGTCTCCTTAGCACATATCGTTCTCTTCTCAATGAGAAACAGGTGGTTTTTTGGTCACAAAGGTTTTAGATGTGTTTTAGATGTACTTTGTCGGCCTTCGGGACCTATATAGGAGATTACCGAATTTACGGTTGGTTGACTTCTATCTGACTAATTGTAAGGTTTTTGATTTGGGGGAAGAAGCTCCTGATGCGGTGCTGCGCAGATTCTTCTTGAACCTTGAAAAACTTAAGCTTAATGGCGATGCAATTGCAGTCGAAATTCAGAAGAGATTGCGACTAATAGTGAGTTCTGATGTGCTTTCCAATATTTACGCCAAGTTCAAAATTCTTTGATTTAGCAATATACACTGTTAAATTCCATCCTCAACGCATTTGATCTTTCAGGTTGCAGGGGGGGATGGAACAGCTGGTTGGCTTCTTGGAGTTGTTTGCGATCTTAAGTTATCTTATTCACCTCCAATTGCTACAGTACCCTTAGGAACTGGAAACAATCTTCCTTTTGCATTTGGTTGGGTAATTTTTTTAAAATTATTTCACACTTTCTGGTTACCATATTAACATGGTAGCATTGCAAAGGACGTTGAGCAAATATAATTGAAAACAGAGTTCATATATTTGATTGCTGCTTTATTATTGATTAGAATGTTGGTATTGTCGAAAACCTTGTTGATAGGCATTTGAAGGATGAATGCATTTCTGTGAAAACTGTGCATTTTAGTTTGATATCAGCCACTGACATCGATATAATGTTTAATATCCTCCTGATATTATTATCAGGCAGCACAAGAATTTGAAACAAAAATATTTTCCTAATTTCAGGGAAAGAGGAATCCTGGAACAGACCTTAACGCTGTGATTTCATTTTTAGATCAAGTCCTGAAAGCAAAGGAAATGAAAATTGACAAGTAAGAAAACAGGATAGAAAGGCTGACACACACATGTTTGCATATGTATGTGCTCGTCATAAACTCTACATTATCATAATCCAAAGCTGTAATGGATCATGTTATTGTTGTATGACAGTTGGCATATTCTGATGAGGATGAAAGCTCCAGCAGAAGGCTCATGTGATCCTATTGCTCCTCTTGAATTGCCACATTCCCTGCATGCATTTCATCGGGTCACCGAGGGTGATGAACACAACGTGGTAACAACATACTATGTGGAACACATTCCCTTTTTGTATAAGATTTTGATATAAAAGAGTATTTTGATGTTCTAATAAATCTTAGTCGATTATATTGTTTTCTCTCAAGGAATCCTGCATGCGAAGCAACTCATCACCATCTTAAGTAGTTACTTACCGGGTTAATTTATCCGCCTGCCTCTTATCTGAAAAAATTTTAGCTGCCTATTTCAACACCTGCAAAACTACATGGTCATACTTGAGGTTGAAGTTAAGTTGTTCAAAAGGTACTTTATAGCTGAGTTAGCAATTCAGAACACAAGACAGGAGCAATGATGTATTTTGACGGAACTTATAGAACAATAGTATTGGATAAGTGGTGGCTAGATTTCACTCTGTTCAAGTATGCTATTTTGGAACTAGTCTTGAATAGAGTTCGTATTTATGAAGAGCTTAGATTACAGAAGACTTGATAAATACTCGCTGTACGTCCTTGGAAATGAGCAGTTTTAACTGAACCATGATGTGTGATTGAAAGATACAAGTGATAAATATAAATTAGAAACCAAAGTCATCCTCTCTTGATTATATTTCATAAGTATTTAGCTCATTTTCAATTATAAGTTCCATTCTTTTTTTTTTTTTTTAGCAATATTCTTTAACGTAGACTCTGAAACTATATAAAGATTATGCACTCAACTCAGCATGTAGAAAAAGTATTATTTGTGGGAAGATGGGCTCAAGTTCTCTTTTTTCTTTTTTTTAATCTCATTTTATGGAAGAAATTTCACCTTCAGCTATGTTTTTTATAAGTCAATATTCTTCTCTCTTTATGTGCTGAACTACTTACTTGATTCTCAGGAAGGATGCCTCACATTCCGTGGGGGATTTTGGAACTACTTCAGCATGGGTAAGACTACTTCCATGACAGTTCTAGATAAAAGTTCAACATGTTACTGAGATTTGTAATACATCACAGGAGATATGTCCTAAATCATTTCCGGAAAGAAAAATCCTTATTTTGATGATCTCTTAATGGGGAAATTTATTCTACAAATTTGGCCTCTACTGTTTGCAATTTTGTATACTGTTAATTTCCAATTTAGTTTGAAATAACTGTTAATGGTCTCTGACATGAGAGTTGTTTCTTCGTTTTGATTGCAGGAATGGACGCTCAAGTATCATATGCTTTTCATTCTGAGAGAAAGATGCATCCTGAAAAATTTAAGAATCAGTTAGTTAATCAGGTAAGTGTTACAAATGTTTTCATGAATTTGCTTGCAGACTAGTTTCCAATCATACTTTTCTTTATATGAGATAATAGATACTATGAACGCAATTGATTTTTAAAACATTGAACATCAAAATATGAGCTTCAACGTGTAAGCTTTCTTGGAAATAATATGTCAACCACATTTAACTCTTTGATTATTATAGTGTATTGCTCATATACCAAAATTTAACCTTTTTCTCCTCATTTGTGTACCAGAGTACCTATGCAAAGATTGGCAGCACCTGGTTTTTTGCTCCTTTGTTTCATCCTTCATCCATGTGCGTACTCAAATGATTTTATTTATTTATTTTGTGCGAGGGGGAGGGGGTACTTCATAGTGAAAAGTAGTAACCTAACTTACCAACCGTGACGAGGTACACAAAATTTCCAATACATCCCTCATGAGGCATTCAACAACCCCCGTAATGTTTCGCCTCCCCATTGGGAGACTTAGCAAAATGCACTGAAACATCTTGCCAAATCCCAGCTCTCATCATTAACCACTCCCTCATTTGATTTCATTATTTCCAGAAACTCCAATGAGTTGTTTTAGCTTGATCC